AGAATAGTACCAACCGGATCCACATCAGAATAGTACTAAACAAAACCACATCAGAATAGTACCAACCGGATCCACACCAGAATAGTACTAACCGGAACCACACCAGAATAGTACCAACCGGATCCACATCAGAATAGTACCAACCGGATCCACACCAGAATAGTATTAACCGGAACCACACCAGAATAGTACAAACCAGATCCACATCAGATTAGTACTAACCGGATCCACATCAGAAAATCAAAGACTTACAAAATGGAGCTCATAAATCATAAATCAAAATGATTGGACATTTATTTATCAAAATATCACCTTTGTTTATGTTTATCTCCAATATAAACAATATCAAACTGATCTTCTAGTTTTGTCCATTCAACCTGACCGTCAGTTATCTTAAATACAAAAATTATTAATAATGTAATTTAATATCAATATTACAAAGAAATAATATTATTCTTGACAGTTATAATGGTGTTGATAATGATAATATGATAATAAAGATAATAGTAATAAATAATAATAATTACAATAATAATAATAATAATAATAAAACTAGCAAGAACAAGAACAAGAACATTTAACATCAACATCAACATCAACATCAACATGAACATGAACATGAACATGAACATGAACATCAACATGAACAACTATAAACTAACCTGATCGAAGAATGTTCTACAGAACGAATTGTCTCCCATTTCTCCAACATAATGAACTCCTATATCAAAGTTTAAACCTTGCTCCGGTATAGTGCTACAGCACCCTCCTGCAACCTTACCCTGCTCCAGCACCAATACCTGCAGTTACCAATTTATCACATAATAATCATACTAAAGGACAAGTTCGAGAAAGTGTAAGAACAGGTAAGAGTTTAAAAGGATATTAATGTTTTAAAAGGGAGCTCCATAAAAATTAAACAGTTTCCTTTAAGTATTGAAAATTGTTCAATTTAAATTTAAAGTATATATTCTCTAATTCAAGATAAATAAAACTAGGATAATAATTTCTAATTCGTGTTTATTGTGATTACCAACGGAAATCTTTCTAATAATCATTAAAAAATATTTTTAAAAGTTGTAAATAAAATTCCTTTTTGCCAGATTTAGCGAGAATAACTGCTGTTGTAAGTCCTCCTATTCCAGATCCTATCACCACAGCATCCAGGGCGGATGGAACCTTAATAAAATACAATATACTACAGTCGTCATCGTATATATTAATACAATAAAGACGACTTTAGATTTCAATTTTTGATTTCTACAAACCTCTTAAACAGCATGATTACACATAAACATGGAAACAAAGAGAAGCGTTCAATTAACAGCTTCTCATTGTTGACTTAACTTGTAATTTAAATAAAAAGTTTGTTAGAAATCAAAACTTAAAAGTCGTCTTCATTGTCTTGTTATAAACGCTGAAAACTGCAGAATTTTATAGTTGTAATCATATTGTACGTTAAACTCTGATTTTCTAATTCCTTAGATATTTCAAACTATAAATTATGTTGTATCACATAATCTAAGCTTGAAATATCATAGCTTTTCACCATTAGGTTACGAAGACAAAGCGTTTTTGAAAATCTAAAAACTCAATTCCTATTGTCAACAAAGTACTTTCAAACTGGTCACAATATCGTTTGTTTACAAATAACATTAAACAAAATTAAAGGAGCATTGGAATTTGCTGCCACGGCTCAACCTTTCCGGTCCCAGTCTGTACTGTATCGCCCAGACATTGGATAAATATAGCGAACACTCAATAGGACTAGCCGGTGCAACAAGGTTGACACGGTCAGACTTTAGGTTGAATTTACTTTTACTGAAGGGTCAGAGGTGCGTGCTCCGTTTAGGCCTATTCAGAAAAAAGTCTGAGTTTGAGATAACATTCCTTGTATTGGATTATTAAAATTGATTAAAATAGACGTTAGAACAGGAAGATAAAATCAACAAAGTCAATTAAAAACTATAACTTCAATATTGAAAGCAATTCAATATGACGAATGTATATTAAGTTGTAGTTGAATTACATATTTAAGTGACTGTAGACGTAATTTCCAGCGTTCCTATAAACCTTTAAACCTTTAAATCTTTGTCTGATCAAGGATGAATAAAATTTCTATTGGAAAATACGTTGTTTTCAATCCGGGTTCTCCATACGGGATAGAAAAACAACTAGATCGTCTTCATTGTTATTCAGAAAGTAGTTTATATCAGATATATGCTCCTTAATTGGAGGGTCATCTAAAACTACGTCCACAGACCCATTAAGGAAAACTGCATGCTTTTGTATAATTTGAAAAATTTCAGTCATAAAGAAAATAAGTGATATTGAACCTTATCGATGGAAAAGTTTTGCTGCAAAACATAACTTCTAGCTTCTGGGTCATGTTCGTAGGGTTTCCTAAACAAAATGCTATTAACATTGTTTTAAAAATATTACCGCAGTTGTTCAATGCCAATTTCTGGAAAAATTCTAAATAAAGGGGAAAAAATTAAAACGTAAATATTTACTTAGAGAAGGTTATAATATATCTATCTATTTATATCGAGCTTTAACTCAACCTATATCTATAGAACCTGAACCTTTAATTAACTCATCTAACAGAAGTCATCAGGTTAAAAGAATTATTAAAAATAAAACTAGAGTTTGAGGAGATCAATCAGTTCTTTTTCTAATAAAGCTTTACCTAGGTTTCCTTGAATCCTTGTTGAATGGATTGGGTGGAGAAAGTCTGAAGACCCTGCTGAAGGTGTTGAAAAGGGTGTAGAGCATGTTAAGGAAGAAGATGATGAAGTTTACAAGAATCATATTTCTCTTCTCAACCAAAGATATTTGACTGAAGGTTTGGACTCACAATTCCTGAAATATCAATGTCACCCTTCATATCCAATTGACCGTTTGACCCCCCCCCCCCTCTCCTTCCCTCTCCCCGTCTTTAAAATGCGTCGTAAACAAATTACGCATAAAACAACGACGCACCGAGGAAGACTTCTACAATTTAAAATATTTAAGATTGATAAATAATAAACTGCAAACTGCGAATAATTTCTAACTGCGCAGAGAACTTCAAAAAGAAAATTTAGAAGAAAAAAGTATTGGCAGAGGCCTTAAAAATGCCCGTTTTTCATAGAACCTTTATCATTTTCACACTCCATAAAGCTTTTTTTTACTTTTTTTAACATTACAAATAAATCTATAATTTTATCCCTAAAAGTTGTTAATTCATCGTCGAAAAATACTAACAATCCACCGCTAATTTATATTGAATATAATGTAAACAATAAATATGTAACTTTCCTTATCCTTTCCTTTCCTTTTCCTTTTATTTCTATTTTTATATTTTTTTAGAATTGGGTGGAAATATTCCCACAACCTCCACTTTTAGAGGGTTTTAAATATTTTCTCCTGAAACACTTTATTTTGTATGTTTTTGTTATATTTCATAAATAAATAATTTTTTACTTTACTTTACTTCTGTCACTTCAAATTGGCCAGGTCTCAAAAGTTGATTTAATCATAACTTTTTGACTGTATAGTTCATATCCAGACAGTTATATAATTAAAAAAACAAAGGAATTGAGTCTTTGTCACAAACTCTGATTTTCTAATTCCTATATCTTTGCAGTCCAATGTTGTAGCCATTTGCCATTTCAAACTATGACTTCTGTTAGATCAAATAATATAAGTTTGAAATATCAAAGGTTTACGACATAGGATTCAAAAGATATAAGGATTAGAAAATCAGAATTTGTGGCAAGGACTCAATTCCTTTGAATGCCAAATAGGTCAAGAACTCGTAAAGGGTGCCGAGCACTGTGGCTAGGGTACAAGAAAAGACTGTGTGATTGTATTGAATATGTATACTATACATAAAGTCTCCTAGAAGGGAGAATGAAGAATGTAAAGTGGATGACTGCTCTAGTTGATGAAAGAATGATGGATGATAAAAGAATAAGTTTAATCTGGGGGATTTCGAGGGTGCAAGGGAATCTGTAGGGGAAAAATTGATTAATTGTTTTTATGAACCCTTCAAACTAAAATTTAAACAAAACTTATAAGTTTAGTTAAGGTAATGAAATTTTAATATCAATTATTATTTTATCCATTTATTTGAATATCCACACTTTCATTAATTTATCCATCTATCCACATCCGTTCATCCATATATATCTATCCATAACCATGTATCCATGTAACCATATAATCTGTGGTGCAACTAATAATATATCCTAATCCTTTGATCTTGTTACTCTACTTCTAATCTATAATATTATATAGATATATATACACTACTCATCTATACAGATTATAATATATATACATAAATAAATACATACTGCAGATATTGATAATTCAAAATTATATCTATCCTGATTGAGGTGCATGGGGGGTGAAGAAGAATAAAACGGGAAAGGGGAGAGAGATGGAAAAAGGGAAAGGAGAATAGAAAGAAATAAGTGAGGATAAGAATTGTTTTTTCTGTACTAATGCCTTTTTAAAATTTGTAAATTGTAAATTTCGACGATTTTTCAACTATTTGAATTTTTAAGATTAGAGAGAAGATAAGAGAATAAAAAAACTTGTTTAAGATAAAAGGAAAGTAGAAAAGAATTAGAGACACTTGATTAAGATGAAAAAGTAAAGTAGAAAGGAATAAGTTTAAGATAAAAGGAAAGTAGAAAGGAATAAGCGCAGCTTGTTTAAGATAAAAGAGGAAAGTAGAAAGGAATAAGAGAAACTTGTTTAAGATAAAACAGGAAAGCAGAAAGGAAGAAGCCTAAGATAAAACATGAGAATAAAAAGAAATAAGAGAAACTTGTTTAAGATAAAAAAAAGAAAAGTAGAAAGGACTAAGAGAAACTTGTTTAAGATAAAAAAGTAAAGTAGAAAGGAATAAGCTTAAGATAAAACAGTCGAGAATAAAAAGAATTAAGAGAAACTTGTTTAAGATAAGCAAGTAGAGTAGAAAGGAAAAAAATCTTGATAAGAATAGAAAAGAAAAAGGGTAAACAGTATATTTGTAAATTATTAGTATTAATATTTTATGCACGTATTATGACAGAGCTCAAACTTTTCAGACCATACCTTGAAATTAGTTTGAACAGAGGAGAGAGGGTGGGGGAAATTCTTATAAAAAACTAGCTTAAGGGCCCGACGTTGCCCGTGGGAAAAAAATGTCAACCCAATCCGTCCAGCCGTTTGGCCGGCTTTACGCAACATATACATGAATGTTTTATTATATAGATGAAAATACTGTAAAGTGTAAATCCCCCGTGGGTAGAATTCTCCATGCGTCTAAATGGTTTAATCAGGATTCCCCCATGCACTTTTGTTGCACCCAGCCATATTCCCCTATTGTAAACCCCCTCCCCCTTTTTAATATTCCCCCCTTTTATTTTATTTCCCTCCACCGCTCTTCCTCCTCTTTACATAAAACCAAATGCATTCCCTCCTATAATTTCTTAACCGCCACCTTAATATTTGATAAGGAAGGAAATTGACAAAATTTTTCTTTTTTGAATATGTCAAAATGGAGGAGGGTCGTCTTAAACAGTGATTTTTCAAGTTCGCTTGTTTTCATTCTTAGTCAATTTTTGCAATGAAAATGAATTGAAAACATCAATTAAATTATTGAGTTTTGCGTACAATTCCTTTAAGAAATACTGTATAATACCTGATAAAGCTGAATTATATGCTTCTTTTATTTGCACTGAATAATCTGCAGTATATATTGGCCAATATACATTCAGCACACTTTACTAGATTAGCAAACATTACAGTAGTAATTCGCGAACACGATCCATTATAATTTACATACATTCTTCCATTATCATATTTGCAAAAATGTCGTCTCCAAGTAGTTGTAAAAGGATAAACTTCTCTCAATTAAAGTAATTATTGCAGGGATATTGAAGAGGAATAAAATTAATTCGTAGATCATCATAATCTGAAATGGAATATTTAAAAATAGTTGGAACTTTTTCCTTGGTTGTAAATATCCTTTGTACCCAATACCCATGCTTTTTCTTCAATCAGAGGACTTTTTTTCAAGAGACGTTTTTGTATAAAATCATACTGGGACAAGAAAAAAGCATTTTTTCCACAGGACTTTTTTAGTGCCAAAATTTTGGACTTTTTTTCAGAGAATGTTTTGGCGATTACCTTGTTCTGATAGTCTTCCAGGTCAGGTCGGATATAAAGTCACGGGGGGTTTCACTTTTTCAAGAAGGGAAGCGGAACCATGGAGCCATGATAAGAAATAGCCGAATTTTTAGTATTCAACTTAAATTTGAAGTTATATGTTATTTATTCCTCTTCTAATCTATTCTTTAATTTTATTCTCATTTTTTCTATTCTGTATTTAAACTTAATCATCTTTTTATTATTTTTCTATTCTACTCTATTTTATGCTATCTTTTTCTATTTTATTGTATTCTGTATTTCCCCCAGCAAATAAACCCCTCAAGTTACTTTGCAAACCATTATCCTTCAATCTTCCTATATTATATTAAATTGTAATCTGGATATATAATGTTTTCTTCAAGCGTTTTTTTTCGAAAACTTTCCCCACGTTGTAATTACGATTTACGAAAACTGTTTTTTTTTAAATCCATATTTTTAAATCTTGATTCAGGTCCTCTGTTTAAAGTCAGTAATCTCTTACTTTCGAACCCCGAAAGGTTGTTTTTTAGTATTTCATCTTTGTTGCATATTGAATATCATAAAACTTAAAATTTTTAAAGAACATGAATTAAAACTTGATTAGATTTAATCCGATACAGTAAGTTTCATATATGTTCGTACACCCGTGTTTTTTGAGGCTCTCTGTACACTGTTATATATTATTCTTAATGTTAGACTGTTAGTGTTTTCAAGCCTCAATTCACTCAAATTGTCTAAAAATACCATCTCTAGAAAAAGAGAAATTATAAAGAGTTATTATCGCTTTTTATTGAACATCTGAACAAAAAGTTAATAGAATTCGGAAGTAAAGAACACGTGTTTAACTTCAACATTTTTTCAAATATTTTTACAACTCTTAAGTGTCATAGAAGCGAAAAATATGTATTGGTTTCGGGCATACAGATCCAGGCAGCGATAAAAACTATGCATCAATTTTCAAGATAGTTGACTGAATTGTGTTAACCTTCATAAATGACTTATACTTATAAATAAAATATAAGAAAATTTTCAATTAGAAAAAGAAAAAAATCGCATTTCTTATTCTGAAATATGACGTCGTAGAGTTCTGACTTAATTAATCTCTACCGCTACTGCTGAATTTTTTTTTCTCCAAAGTAAATACGGTGGTAAGCGATTACGGTGGTAAGCGATTAATGCAATTTAATAAAGACGACATTCTTATCCAAATTTTAATTGTTAACAAGCTTATTCAGAATTACAAGTTTACAAGTAATTAAAGAGAATCTTTTTAAATTGACAGCTTCTCTTTTCTTCCATGTTTTTGTATAGCTATGCTGATTAAAAGATTGATATAAATAAAAATTGAAATCGAAAGTCGTCTTCATTAAGTTGATTTAATCGCCTACTACCGTCTATTATTGTCATTTTCGTTATTAAGTTCAAAGTCCAATGTATTATGGATGACCCTGTACCGTATAGAATACCCAATATGCATACTAACCAAAGTTTGTTTAAGTACCATTTATAATTTCTATTTATGGATATATTAACAAGGGGAGAACAATACATGTGCAAATACTGTACACTGTACAGTGTACACCTAACTATAAACTATATTCAATTATAGAATTTGCTCATTTCTAATAACGTAATAGGTCACAAACCTTAGTACCCAAAGATTTTTTTTTAAAATGCCAAATTAGAACCAATATTATCATGTTATATAGATTTTTCGTACAATATACATAAACATTTATGAATGAAGAAATTCATTTTTTATGGAGTCACTGTTACACCTTTGCGACCTAGCAACCTTTCAAGTTTTCATTTTCCTCTCAATAGTTTTCTACAATCTGAACGTTTTAAGACAAAAGTCCTAAAAAATTAATCATTTGTTTGGTTTACCTTTTTTATGACTACCAAGGAATTACTCTGATTCTTTCATCCCTATATCTTTGCAACCCGATGTCGTAGATCTTCGATATTTTATATACATTTTGATAGATTAAAAATAGTCCAAGTTTGAAATATCAAAGGTCTACACATTAAGGTTGCAAAGATATAGGAATTCGAATATTTGAGTTCCTTTGCTAGTTTTAACCATTTACTGTGTTAAATTTTATTTCTAAACTTTTTTTTTGAAATGATGCAATAATGTATATAAAAATCTCCTGGTATACAGGGGTATTCAGAAAACAGTATATGTTTAAAAAAAAAATTTCAATGGAGTAACACCAAGGATGTTGTAATTTACGATTAATATAACTGAAATATTGTTCAACAAACATTTGAAATGTATTCTCCAATTAACTATATTTCTAACTATCCATCGATGTGTGCTACGGTTACGTATCTGTTATGATATTAATATGATATAGTTGAATAACTAAATATATATAATCTTAAATCCAATGGTTTTCAACTAATTTGATTTTTTGCAGAAAGTAAGAAAAAAACATAATCCAAATTCTTACTTGTTATATTGTGAAATATGCATGTTGTTTATTTAGTTTAATCCTGAATACATATAAATAAAAACTGCACCATAATTCACTACAATAATAAGATTAAATAATTGATTTATTAGTTCACACCTTAACTTAATTTAGCTCTTACTCTATCTCTCTATATATAACTCACATCAGTAACAAACAAAAAGAAGTTAAATCATGTCTTTTTATTGATTTAACAAAATGAGGATGATTTTTATTTTCTCATTTTTTACATAAATTTCTTTCTCAAACTTTACACTGGTAACATAGAACATGTCTGTCGGCGGTAACATTTTATTCAAAATGAGGTAAAAAAATGTAAATACCCCTTTTTGCTGTATTTCCAAAGGACTGAAGGTTTTTGTAGGCTTATAAAGAATTTGCATTGATCAGGCCTAACTCATGATTGCTTTGAATTCTTATAACAGTAAAAAAAGACAGTTTAGGCCACTGCATTAACTATTTTAAAGCCATTATTTAATGATTTAACAGGAACTTATTTAAATTAGATTTTTCAAATTAACATGTTAAGATCGTGTTGGCCACAGTTGACTAAGGTTAGACAATTTCTAACTTATTGTGTTTAAATATTTTATGAAAATTTCTTTACATGTCAGAAATTTCATTATTCTTTGGGGTTATTCCAAAAGATTTTATTTTGCAAAATGCTGCATTCCTTAAAAATTGATTAATAACGTTACAAAAAGTGCAATCTAGTCAACAGGGTGTAAAAGATCCCTATTTTTTATATTAAATTTCAATTTGACAATTTTTCACTCTTATACATATAAATCCATTATTTGTAAAAGCAGTCCCAGGAACAGAATAGGATATCCGTGAGACAGCTGGGTCCGGGGTTAGCTGCATTTTTGGCTTGCATTGTAAAGTTCTCTTCACAGGTCACGTTTTTGTCACGTGATGGGTTTATAATGTAACGTGACACGGTAAAATGTCACGTGATGGGAGATCAAGATTGAGTAAGATTCTATTATTGTTGTAACTGTTCCATCACAAGAAATATATTATATATCGCTGTAAGTGCGTCCAGTTCTATTAATTTCATTTTTATCTTGAGATGGTGTAGAAATATTGGTTGAATTAATGAATATCTAGCACTGAAGTTGGAGTGCAGGATGAAAGAATGGATGGATCAATGAAAGGATGAATGAATGAATGAATGAATGCTCAGCACTGAGTATTACAAGTGATGTGAAGAGGATGTGGGGGTATCCTCTGTGGATTCCCGGTGATGGCGTTCAAGTCCTTCATCACGCTTTCCAGGTTCCTCATCTCATTGTTTAGCTCCTCGGTACTTCGAGACGCCTGAAACAATCAATCAATTAGTTATATTGATCAATGGATTAAACTAATAAAATAGATTGATTAAAGAATGGATTGATTTATGTAAACGGAAATAGCTTCATCCATTTGAAAACAGATTTTTCCTGTTCGTTGACCCACTGCAGGGTCCAGGCCATAATAAAGAGAGTGTTGACGAGATCCGAATTATTACAAATGACGACAAAGAATAAAGTTTAAGAAATTTTTGGAACAAATTCAAAATTATTCAAACTTTTTTTTTTCATGTACCAATTTCAATAATCCTGCACTGTCCCTTTAATATAATAATATCTAGAAGTAAAATGTAGTGAAGGAAACGGTCCTCTATCCAAACTATCCCTTCAACCCATCCTTCAATCCTGACTCTTTTCAGATATCTACTTCCAGGGGCACATTATAACTCCCCCCCCACCCCTTCGATTTATCATCCCCTCACGCCCCCCTCCCATACCCTCCAACCTTAATTGATGAAGGGTAAATATAATAATATCTCGGGAGGGGGTGCTAGCCTACACCCCTGTTTATTTTTCTACTTCTCAATCATCCAACTATTTATCTACTTGAGACACACCACCTCACACTATTTAATTTTATAGAACACCTAAAATCCTCCAAAACCAGAAAAAAAGCTAAACCAATATTAATAAAAATTATTAACTTAATTCTTCTTTTTTAAACAGTGTAACTAACTCCCAAACCCTTCTCTTCCCCGTTACCGATTTTATTTTATTCTGTTAAAATTAGATATTTCTATTTGTAATTTTATCCTATTTGAAAATGAAAATCTTGAGATTAAACTTTTCATAAATTAGCCAGAAAATATTAAAATCAAGAAACTAATTTCAATATTCTTCAGATAACTTTCTCAAATATAAGAAATTTTGATTTTTTTATTCAAGATCAGTTGATGAGAAAATCTAAGTGTGATAGAAATTATGAAATGTCCGATAACCTATTAGCGATAGATATATCTTTACTTCAGAATTCAAATAAACAAATTCTTCAATATTTTTAATGTATGAAGGTTAATAGTACGCTGTTATTTATGTGGTAATCATGTTTCATGAATTAAAAAAAGCAAAAAAAATAGTGTCAGCTGAGAACTTTTAAATGGAAGGATTGAGCTAAACTTGTTCCTAATGCGTTAAAGGTCTCCTGTTCAGTGTTCACCCTACTAATCCAGACTTAAGCTTGTTTCTCATTGGTAAAAGTTAAATAATTCGACCATTGAAAAATCAGAAATCTTAAAATTCTACAAATGAAAAGAATTTTTATATTAAAAAAAAATAAAAAATACTTACCAATAAGGATTGTGATAAGCAATCACAAGCTCCTTGTTGCATGAGTACATCAGGACTCCTCACCTCCTGAAGAAGACTGGGACTCCTAACCTCACCCATAGGTAGAAGAGTAGGGGAACTACTCCTTTGGTTCAAGGAGCAGGGTTCAGCGCACTCTGTAGTGGAGGACAGAACTCGTTTGAACGGACTAGTAGGGGTAGGACGCAGTCCTGAATACAAGATATATATGAACTAGTAGGGATAGGACGCAGTCCTGAATAGAAGACATATTATGGGACTAGTCGCAGTCCTTAACAGGAAATAAAGGACTAGAAGGGATAGGATGCAGTCCTGAACAAGAGATATATCAGAGGACAAATATGGACAGGACTCAGTTCTAATTAGGAGATATATTAAAGGACTATAACGGACTAATCTTTCTTGGACACAGTCCTGCATAAGAGTTATATTGGAGGAGGGATAGGATGAAGTCCTAAAAAAGGAGATATATTAGAGGACTAGTAGGGGTAGGACGCAGTCTTAGAAAGGAGATATTTTAGAGGACTAGTAGGGGGTGGGAAGCAGTCCTAAAAAGAGAATATGTTAGAGGACTAGTAGGGGTAGGACGCAGTCCTAAAAAGGAGATAATTTAGATGACTAGTAGGGGTAGGACGCATTCCTAAAAAGGAGATATTTAGTAGAGGACTAGTAGGGGGTGGGAAGCAGTCCTAAAAAGAGAATATGTTAGAGGACTAGTAGGGGTAGGACGCAGTCCTAAAAAGGAGATAATTTAGATGACTAGTAGGGGTAGGACGCATTCCTAAAAAGGAGATATTTAGAGGACTAGTAGGGGTAGGACGCAATCCTAAACAGGAGATATTTTAGAGGACTAGTAGGGGTAGGACGCAATCCTGTATAAAATAAATATTAGAGTGCTGGAGAATAGGACGCATAGGTATTAGAATTGAAAATGAATTATAATAATAATAATAATAATATATGAATAATATGCTAATATTAATATTTTACCTAATCCAGGTTTCGATTGAGAAAGTGATGAAGGTATATTTGGTACATTAAAGCTTCTAAGATGGGAGGGGCGACGGGACCCGCTCCCACTCCCCGCTGCACTTCCGCCACTCCCACTACACGCTCTGCTTCCGGAGCCGGATACACTCCCACTGTCGGCGGAGGATGTGGACATTGCGGATGACATATATTGAGGTATTTGACTAGGATGACAGCCTCCACAGCTCATGGCAGAGCCTCCATCTATACTGGAGGTCGTTGTATTTGCCCAATTAAAGTCTCCATTGCAGGTAGACGGAGGACCGTCTGACCCCGGGCAGTAGCCGGGGAGAGGCTCCGGGGAGTGCGGGGAGTTCATTGATCTACAAGAAGATGGAGGAGGAGGATTGAGGTTGTATTGAGACCGGATATACGTGGAACCAGAACAACTTCCGTTTGGAATACTTGACGCTACAGCTGCAACAAAAAATAATTTTACATTTGCACAAAATGCAGAGATTATAAATATAGGTCTAGATAGGTAGTTTTAGTTAGTTAATTGTTGTTAATATTATACAAATGAAGTCGCTTAGTAAAAATAACATATACGAATAGAAATCAACCTGAAAGATGTTAAATAAATAGGGAATAAACTTTTGCGATAAGGAAATTACCATAGAAGAAACATTTGTCATACCATATTTACAATAAAAAAATCAAGATATTATAGAAAAAGGTGCCTTTTTTCAGCTTTTCCAAAAGTAAATATATATTTTTTGACTGAGTATTCTTAACAAACTTCGTTTTGGAGGAAAAATCCAAAATTTTGAATCCCTATCCTAACAAAATGAATTTTTTTAAATCCGGGAAAGAGTTTCAGCCAAAAAAGTTTAGAGTTCAAAAACATCTATTCAAATCACGTGATAGCTTAATTTTCTTTTCAAAAAATCTAAAATGTACAATCTACGGACACCAATACACTCGGTGCAAACAAGTAATTTTTCAATTTAAAAAACAAACAAAACATAATAATGAATTATATAAAAATGAAAAACTGCAAAAGAAACAATAACGGCCTTTAGTAAACATGCATGTCTTTATGTAGGTATACAAACAGTGTATGTATTATGTTGCTGTACACAGTGTAAAAATCGTCCAAAATCTTGGGATTTAAACTTTTTTGTCAGAGAATAAATCCCTGATTATTAGGACAAAATAAAAACTAGGATAAAAAATAAAAATAAAAATACTCACACTCCTTAGACAGATATCGGGAAACTTTATGTTTGTTCCCGATTGCCGCGATTTTCATCGGGTGTCCGGACCCGGTGAGTGATTGTCGTAATAATCGGCGCTGCGATTCCCGGCCGGAGTACGATCGCTCACTTTCCGTTCCTGGGGTACAAAACAAAACTAAAAAAGGGCCCAACAAACATACTTTCTGGAGTTAAAAAGGGCCAAAAAAGCCAATTCTTACCCCAAAAAATATCAAACAGAACTTACAGTATCCTTTTCTTACGCTGTTTAATGAGAAAGCTTGTAAAGTTTGTATGAAAAATGTAGAGTTTTCAACCAGGTAAAACCTTCAACTCCTTCAACCTTTGAGATGCTAAATTTGAAAAGTTGAAAGAGTTTTAAACTTTCAATGGTTTCAAAACAAACAACGTTGGGTGAATTTGCTTTTTTATTTCGATCAAGAGCGGAGTTTTTATAAAAGTTTTTAAAATACAATAATACAAAAATCCGCTTTGAGATGAAAGAAATGATAAAAAATTCATTTTCAAATAAATAACATGAAAGGTTTAAAATAGTTGTGTTGAGAAATCCTTTAAATAAAAACCTTTCACAACTTTTAAAAAATCCAAGTTTAATATTTTATCATCTTAAATCTACAGAATTCATATTTAAGCCCTTGTCAGATTTAATATATAATAATAAATAAAATATTGTTACGAGAGGATTAGATAAAAACATCTTTAAGTTGACAAAACTGAAAACACAGTAAAAGTGGATTTTCAAAAACAAAAAGGGGGGGGGCCACAAAACGTATTACTCTCCGGAAAATTTAAACAGTGTTTAAACATAACTTAGAATTGTCTTAGGAGGCTGATTTTTTGCATGCAAACTCAGAATTATGTATATTACGTGCATTTTTTGGTTTTGAAGGAATATGAGCAAAAGTGCGCGCGCGCGCGCGTTTTTTCCCCCCACCCCCTGCCCTCCCTCACCATCACCCTCCCCAGACGACGGACAAAAAGTTGATTAATTAATACATTCGGAAATTGAAATTCCTATAAAACGAAGAAATGACAATTCCAATTCAAAGTGAAGAAAGAAGTCATTAAAAACTTCTAAATACGGGGTTTAATTCAGTCGGGGTAAAAACTTTTACATTTGGGGGTTCTAACTTCATCCGGGGTTAAAATTAATACCTTAGTGGTAGGAGGGGGGGGGGGGGGGCAGATTTTAAAGCTAAAAGCACAGCACCCTACTTGTTTAAATTACAGTTCGATTTAATAAAGTAGTCTTCTTAAGTAGCCGTCAAGCAGTACAAGCAGTATCTAAGCAGTTACTTAATGAATAATAAAGAAGTGGGCGTGTCGGCTTTACACCAGGCTAGGGCGTGTCTTGTTCTCCAGTGTATGCAGTAAATTCTAACTATTTCCTGTGTATGACAGTAGTAGGAAAATTAGAGAAAACGGGGCTTTTTTATAATCTAGATAATATGAAAGGTATTCAGAAAAAAATATTTCGATCTTTTTAAATTAAATAATAATAGGATGATATTTCTTGCAGTATCCAAAGTATTATTCCCTCTTCTCCTCCTTCCAATTTCCCCCCGCCATGTAAAATATAAAAATATAAAAGTAAAAATTGTATGCCACCTTGCAATTAAAAGCCTACCTTCCCTGTATTTAAAGTAATATAGTTTTATAGATGTAATTACCTAGACGCAAAATTTTAAAAATAAAACAATAAAATGCGTGTGGTCGAACCTAGGGGAAAACTTGGGGGAAAATTGCTTAAATCTACAATTTATGAGATTAAGTTTTCGCGGTTTTCTCCGACTTTAAAATTATTTTAATCTCTCTTTTTTACAGGGGTTTTAACATTTTCTGTAAATATATTGGAAGCATTTAAGATAATTTATCTTCAAGTTTTTCTGAATATTCGGCGCATTTAAGTTCTTTTATTTTCAACTTTTTCTCTATTTTCGAAACATTAACTATGTTGTATAGAATCCAGAGTTAGGGATGGTTAACCCGACTGTAAGCCTCTTTCAGTAGTAGACCCAAGACCTTTTTTTATTTTAAAATCCCCCTTCTTTCGAATTTACCCATTCTGTCCTTTCTTCCCCCGGGAAATGCGAAATAATAAAGTTTCTCAAAGGATTTCTGATGTAAAATGAAAATCAGAATTTTAACATATATATTAACTTTCTATAGATCAAAATTAAATCAAATTTCGATTCAACGAAGAAAATAAATTTATTAGTTTTTAGTTAGAGTCTTTAATCAAGCATTAATATCTCATTAATGCGTTAATCACCAAAAAACAGCCTGTGAGTTTCTTCACTATAATTCTTTATTTTAGACAAAAATCTGTTTTTCATAAATAATATATAATAATAATAATATAATAATAATATAAGAATGCGTCAAAATATTCAATCAAATTTGATTCAACTCGAAGTATACAATAATTTCCACTTTTTAGTTGTACTTAAAATTATCATTAGCGTCAATAAAATGACAATTATTAATTATTTCGGACATTTGGTTCGTCATTAATTTCATATATATATATATTATTTATGTATGGGCCTTGTCCAAAATCAGCGCTAAGTAATGGGGTGAGTTTGGTTAGAATTAGGGCATCTCTAGCATTTATGCAAAAACTAATGCAATTCAAATACACATTTTAATTCAATAATGTTGCAATGTTGGAATAGGAAAATAAATGCAAAAAAATTTACTAACTTGTCCCGACATATTTCTAAAGTTTTCAGTGTCAAAACATTAAAATATTTACAAAATTTCAACAATGAGGGAAAAATCCCCCCCCCCCCCTCCTGTCCCGAACATCATTTTCACGCTATGTTTGAAGGATGAGGAATGGATGGTAAAAAATGTAAAATATTTTGTCAGGCTTGTCTAAAAATATAACACACGCTTTATATTATGAAATGTAATATTCAGCTCTTAAAAGATTTTGTTACGAGGGGCCTTTATTACAAGCTTAAGCATGAGAAAGCCAACGCTGAGAAATCTTCTAAAAACTATTTATCATTAATTAATTAATTATTACATTACACAACACATCCTCAGACACACATTACACATAATGTGCCAGGGTGGGTTCAAGAATAACATTAAAACACGCCTCCAATTCGATTTTCTAAGTCTTACATCTTGGTAACCTGATGTCGTAAACCTACTATGAATTCTGATTATCACATGGCTTTTTGGTTTACACTATAAGAATTAAGTGTTATAAATCAGATTTTTTAACAAATTTTCAGTTCGTTTTCAAACTAATCTTAGTTTCATAGTTTTCTAGTAATATAGTTTATATCTTTATATTCAACAAAAATATTATTTTGTGAATTCTAAAAACCCAAACCAGACGGATAAGAGAAAGATGTTGTACATATTTTTTATGTGTGTATTATACACAATACAATACAATATATACTAATATTATACAAATATATTTATAGAAGTGTATTGTTGTCTCTACACTGAAATGTAAACAAACAAAGTTTGTAAACAAACACTAGAAGAATTGAAAAGAGAAAACAAACACAAAAACCTGCTGGATATGGATAAACCCTGAGAAAGCGAAAACAAAACAGAAAAATATGAAATTGAGAAGCAAGACAGGAGAGAGAAAGAGTTGAGTTTTTGTTACAAGCTCAGATTTTCTAATCCCTACGGTATAAACCTTAAATGTTTCCAAATATGAATTCAAAATAAAATCTTCATTTAAATATTTAAGGTTTACACAATCAGGTTACACAAAAGCTTGAATTTATGGCCAAGATTCAATATCTTTACATAAGAGTATAAAAAAGCACTTGAATAAGAAAAAAGTCTAATGCCCACTTTAATTTATCACTAATTCTTTAAATTTAATTATGAAACTAAAATTTTCAACTAAATGACAAATAACAAAAAACGCCCTAAAATATGTTTTGAGTACTGAGTAACCATTGAACTTGTTTAACTTTTACACATTTAGACTTTTCAGGATTCTTTATATTTCTAAAGTCTACATGACTACTATAACCCTCTGAATAGTCTAGACTACCCACAAGTGACAACTATAAACCTCTGAATAGTCTAGACTACAAGTGTCAACTATAACCCTCTGAATAGTCTAGACTACCCAAAGTGTCAACTATAACCCTCTGAATAGTCTAGACTACTTACAAGTGTTAACTATAACCCTCTGAATAGTCTAGACTACCCACAAGTGACAACTATAACCCTCTGAATAGTATAGACACTTCACCAATGATAACTAAAACCCTCTGACTAGTGTAGACTACCCACAAGTGTCAACTATAACCCTCTGAATAGTCTAGACTACTCACCAATGATAACTATAAACCTCTGACTAGTCTAGACTACCCACAAGTGTCAACTATAACCTTCTGAATAGTCTATACTACCCACAAGTGTCAACTATAACCCTCTGAATAGTCTAGACTACCCACAAGTGTCAACTATAACCCTCTGACTAGTCTAGACTACTCACCAATGATAACAATAACCCTCTGACTAGTCTAGACTACCCACAAGTGTCAACTATAACCCTCTGAATTGTATAGACTAATCACCAATGATAACTATAACCCTCTGGCTAGTCTAGACTACTCACCAATGATAACTATAACCCTATGACAAGTCTAGACTACTCACCAATGACAACTGTAACCTTCCGACTAGTCTAGACTACACCAATGACAATTGTAACCCTCCGACTAGTTTAGACTACTCACCAATGATAGAAGTAGATGAAGCAGGTTCCAGGGTAACATTCTGAGGAGGATCAGCAGGAATATCGGAGTAGGTTCGAGCAACTATCTCTTCACTATATCCTCCCTCACCATTACTAAAAATATTAAACAATTAAAAGAATGATAATAAAAAAATGAATAAAGGAATTTAGCCTTTGCCACAAACTCTAATATTCAAATCCCTAAATCTTTGCAACCCAATATCTTAGACCTTAGATATTGCAAACTATGAATTCTGCTTGATAAAATAATTCGAATCTTTTAAAAAAACTCAAATTTTCTAAACCCTATATCTTTGTAACCTGCTCGTGTAAACCTTTGATATTTCAAAGATATGGGTAAATTAGAAAATTTGAGTTTGTATCAAATACTCAATTCCTTTGCTCATACTTTTGTCATAACAATCTGATCTAGTAAAGAGCTTTGACGTTCCAAACTATGAAATTTTCTCGATCAAAATGTTGGAGGCTAAAATATCAATGATTTACACCATCAGGTTGAAGACATTGGGATAAGAAAATTCAAGCTTGGAAAACATTTATTTGATGTGACTAGTGAGTGAGGCTTAAAAATAAGGTCGACATGTAAAACTTTTCTTAGGAAAAACGATATCTGAAGCTATAGTTAACGCTTTCTCTGTATATTCGCAAAAAAAAAGAATTGAAATACTATTATCATAAAAACTGACCTATTGAATGCTGAAACCCAGAAAGTGTACTCTGTGAACTCCCTGAGATCTGAAAGATGGTATTGTGTATCCTGAAGTACAATCTCCTCCTCCATTGATAGTTCCCCCTAAAATAAAACAAAAATAAATTTTGCAATTAAAGAAAAAATCTGATTGATAAGAACACAATTTATAATGGAAAAACAATTTTCTCATCTCTATATCTTTGCACGCTGATGTTGTAAAAAGTAGATTTTTCATCGTCATAGACATGAGGTTGCACAAATATATATGGATTAGAAAATAAGATTTTGAGTGATCAGTTCATTAATCTTTAAAAGCTGACCAGCAACGGCTTAATCTAATCCGTTACCGATTATTCAACGTTTAATCTTTTAGATCAGTAACAACAGACAACAAAATAAATTAAACGTTTTAGTGTTCACCAGAAACAACGTCCGATGAATAAAAATCAGGAACCTATTTTCATTATGTCTAAACCTGACCCAAATATAAAAGTATCAAATTTTATTATAATCTGAATATTTGACTGGCAAGCTGTAAAAACAATCCACAATCCTAGTTTACAAGGAAGAAACTACAAAACAACAGATTTTATGGATCATATTAAATACATCATAAAATTAAAATAAAACCTTCATACACCCCCCACAGCCTGCACTGCACTGGTTATCAATGTAACCCCCCCCCCCCTTGTTTGTTAGACATTATACCTACACCCCTCCATCCATCCTTTCCTTTAAAATATATGTCTAAAAATCATGCCTGATCTCAAATATTAAATGCAAAAAAGTTACATCATCTAAATTACTTTTTAATCTTGTAAATGACAAAAGTATTTTTTCCTCAAAAAATGCAATTTTTTTTAATAAGTGCCTTCAAAACCAAAAAATGCACGTAATATACATAATTCTGAGTTTGCATGCAAAAAATCAGCCTCCTACGACAATTCTAAGTTATGTTTAAACACTGTTTAAATTTTCCGGAGAGTAATACGTTTTGTGGCCCCCCCCCCTTTTTCATCATCTTTTCTAAAATTATCAAAAAGATTAAAAAAGATACTGCAAGTTCTGAGGACCCTGTAAACAAAATAAACAAAACAAAAAAACTGTCTATATGCACTATGTATGTATGTAAAATATGTACAAAAAGAAAAAAATATCATGAAACCCATTAAAAAAAAAAAATTTATGATATTTTTTTCCGCGTTATTTTTTGGTGAATATCTTCCTGTTTTAGTGATTTTAGTATATGTAATGTGTAATTTGATATTAAAATGTTAACTGAAAAATTCACTTGGTTCATTGTTTTAATTGACATTTGAATAAATAAGTGGGACTGAAATTTCGCGAATAAAAATGCGATTTGCAATTTTTTTTGCAAGGAAGAAATTTCGTAATTGAATAAAAGCTTTTCTGCCAAGTTAGAGGACATTAACCCAAAAATAAAAAATCATTCCTTTACTGGATCAAACCATTAAAACAGATATAAAAAAATAGTTCAAAACTAAAGCAATGTACAAGCATAAAGCAAAAGGGATAACATGTTGAAACGAAATAAAAATATCTAAAATAAATGATTTTTTACTAAATAAGATTGAAAAAAGTTTGATTGGAGCAGGAATTGTATTGTGAAGCCGGATCCTACCTGAATATGGAGCAATATATCTAGATCTATCTAGTGTGGAGCTGGAGCCTCTGATATCTACAGGAGTGGAGCGGGGTAGGGAGGGGGCACGACCTCCCTCCTCCTGATTGGAATTCATTGATTTTAACTCCAGCTGATCGTGGTTTATCCAAAGATCCGGCGGGGGCGGGTTCAACTTCTCCCGCCCTGCTCCTGTCTCTCCTTTCATATATGGTTTATTTCGCTCCAGCTCTGCCGCCCTGGAGCCCCGCCGACACATCATCAAACCAAATATAACCGCCACAATCACTATTACACCACCGGTTGCAAATATTGAGTATTGAACCGCCGGCGGAATACCACCGTCGGAACTTGCCACTGTTCCTATTTCGCCGGATTTAGTTCGGTACATCACTACAGCTGAATGAGGACCATATCCTTTACTATTTCTGGCCTGGATCTTGAAGTAGTATTTAGTGTCAGGATCCAACTGCCTGATCTCGGTGGAGGTCTTGTCCCCGATGACCCCCTCCACCACCCACTCCCTATCCTGCTTCCTCTTGTCTTCGGTATAGAAGATCACATAACCGTTTATCCGTCCGTTTGTTCTCCGCGGTGGTAACCAGGTCAGCGTAATCGTTGAAGGATCGGCGGTGTTACCGATAACATTAAGATCCCGAGGCGGGGAGGCGGGTGCAGATTCTTGTGTAGTATTAAGGACGACCAGAGACCAGGGTGACTGCCTGGCACCCTTCACCACCTTCACCGTGAACTCGTACTCCATGTTAGGACGGAGATCGTCGATCATGGCGTTTAAGTCTGTTGCATTCCTATAGTTGTGCTTCGGACGCTCGGCTTGTATCGAAATAACACTGGTGTACCGAACAATATAATATCGATTATCCGTGATTAGCTGATTCCTGGGAAGGGTTGAATCGATCCATGTGATCACAACCGTAGAGGACGAAAGGACGATTGCGTGTAGTCCAACGGGAGGGACTAGTGGCGTGGCTGGCTCATTCGGTGCCTCGTCACTCGTCCTTGTTGTTTCATAAATCGGCCGTCCATCGCCGACGTTATTGTATGCCCTCAAACTGATGACGTACTCACTGTTCGGCTCTGAAACAGAATATTCTTGTATCGCCCCTATGAAAGATTAGGCAAGGGCAATATATCTGTTCTCACTTGAGCCAATTTTACATATATTGACATTTAGAACAAATAGTTGCACACTGTATTTATACATGAATACTCATGTATATAAATAAACAGATAAAAGAGAACCTAAAAATACACATTAAGGAAAATCTTGAAAAAAAAGCAATAACATAACAAGAAAAAGATATAACGGAATTGAGTATTTGTGTAAACCCTAAATTGTGTAATCCCTATATCTTTGCCATCTGATGGAGTAAACCTTTGATATATTAAACTAACATTTGATCTAACATAATTCATAGTTGAAGGTCTACGACATAGTGTTGCAAAGAAAGATGTATTAGAGAATCAAAATTTGTGGCCAAGACTCAATTTCTTTGTTATTATCCTGGAAAAGGTGCAAAAAGACAATTTCGTGAACGCAAAATATGTGTTTGTGCATGGGGGAGGGGGGGGGAGGGTTCTGCTTCAATGGTCCCTTGAGGTGAGGGGAATAATAAGCAATAAATTAATAAAAAGACAGGGGTTTTATAAATACAAATATAGTTAAGTTACGCTAGCAGGGTTGACAGTCTTCAGGCAATACAATACTGTTCAATTCCTTTAAAATTATGTCTACTGTTAGACATTATACCTACACCCCTCCATCCATCCTTTCCTTTAAAATATATGTCTAAAAATCATGCCTGATCTCAAATATTAAATGCAAAAAAGTTACATCATCTAAATTACTTTTTAATCTTGTAAATGACAAAAGTATTTTTTCCTCAAAAAATGCAATTTTTTTTAATAAGTGCCATTAAACCCCCCCCCCCCTCCCCCGTCAAAAATATCCTAACAAGTGTAAACTCTGATAGTTTAAATGTTGTAAAATCCTCCTTTAATCCCTTGTTGAGTGTTGAGTGAGTGAGTGGGTGCTATTGTCAGATAGAAAGCTTGTAATAGAGAGACTTGATTTCAAACCTTTCATATTTTTATTAGATCTTTATCCATGTGTACACACTGGGGGTTGGTAGATGGATTTAATAGAGTTTAGAAGGGTAGGTTAGGGGTGGTTTAATGGAGTTTAGAAGGGTAGGTTAGGGGTGGTTTAATGGAGTTTAGAAGGGTAGGTCAGGGGTGGCTTAAAGCAGTTTAGAAGGGTAGTTTTAATGGAGTTTAGAAAGTTACGTAGGTTTAATACAGTTAATGGAACAAGTTGAGTAGAGCCTATATAAATTTGATGGAGTTCAGTGGAGTGATAAATTAAGGCTAAAAAGGTGTTTCTAATGTTATTGGTTGGGTGTCATTTATTAAAACCATCCAAGCAGACGTAATTATCAAAGCAAAAACTATTGTCAGTCAAGACATAAATCTCCCCCCCCCCCTGTAGCGTAATTATACCATTTTATATCAGGCATGATAGATTTATGCCTTTTAATCAAATAGATAAAATTAGATTTGGTAAAACTATATCAGTGGTATAGTGGAAAGTTTGTCAAGTTTGCAAAAATAGGTATATTCAGAAATATTTCTCTATTAAGAAACTAAATTCGTTTACTAAAGTTTTCTCTCTGATTTTAAATGTAAAGTTTCTTTGTTCCCTTTATATAGTTTCTATAAAAGATTTCTGAAAGGTTTGATGATTGAAACATAATATTGGTTTCCGGCTAATTGGACTAGTCTAGTGCTCCAGTAGTTCAGAAGTTTATATTAGTCCAGAAGTCTAAATTAGTCCATTATTCCATTAGTCCAGTATTCAATTAGTCAAGTGGTTCATGACTCATTGGTCAAGAAGTCTAGTAGTCTAAAAGACTTTTAGTCTAGTAATCAAGTAGCTTAAAGTGAAGTTTTCAGTAATCCAATAGTCAAGTAGCCAAGCCAATTTAAATTTGAAGTGACTTTCGTGTAAAAAAAATGCCAGAACCAACTCACAACGGTGTCGGTACCCCCTTAAACTCTTTCTTAGAATAGTCGGGACCAACATAGTCAATTTACAAAACGAATAGTATTGAAATATTTTTAGTTATGGCACTTTAAAAATATTCAATACAACTAAGAATTGAAAAAATGTATTTTTGTAAAAAAAATTCATTTATCGTGGTAAAAATACTTACTGAGGTTCTCAATGACGAAGTATCTCTGCTTGTTGTCCACCACCTTGGTGTACTCGTCCGGGATCCCCTTCCCCCATCCTATCGTGTATCCTCGAACCAGGATCGTGTTCGAGCTCGGCGGGTTCCACACGATCGTTATTGAATCGTCGGCAGCCTAAAGACGATTATTCAATGGAAATAACTGTTGCTGTTTCTGCCGTACTTTTATTTTAAAATACGTAATAAATGTTCCTAAAAAATGTTTGTCAGCTTCAGTTGAAAATTAGTATCGTACAGAAAAATTCTTAAATAGAGAAATATATATATTTATTTTTGGCCCTTTTTTCAATTTGTGAATTTAAGAATTGTGCAACCAACATTTTTTCTTGAAAATATTTGACATTGATTATTTGAGATAAAAAAACGATATGAAAGAATGATATTAACCTTAGCTCTGAGGACAGCAGGAGGTTCAGGTACAATAGATTCATCAAGGTCGGAGGCAAAGGTTGCAGCCTCCAACCAGCCTGTATAGGGACCGGTCCCGTTGACCGTCAAGGCGGATAGTTTTACCTGGTACTCCCGACCATTCCGTAAACCTGAAGAAAAATAATAATATTAATAATAATAACCTGTAATGGCGTATAGCCGCCGACTACCATCTGTGGATACGGTTTGAGTATTTCCGCCTTTTCCTCCCCGCCGCCACTTAATCTTATACCCGGTAATTATACCGTTCTGAGATTCTTTCGCAGGTGGCTCCCAGCGCACTGAATTAGTTATTTTTGGAAAACTGTTTAAATGTGTGAATTTGAATAAATCCTTCAGTTGATAATGTAGAATGATAATACAACAAAATATTTATATATTTACATATATAATTTCTACAATAAAATTTTAAAATGCATTTTTAATGTTTACGTTTTGGATTTAGGTTTTTAAGCAAAGCAGCAGAGCCGGCAGTTTTGTGCAGGACAAATACTTTAATACATATATTATTTCCTGGAATTCTTTTCAACACAACACAACCTTCTAAATAAACTTTGCAGAGGCGTGACATTTTTTAGATAATCCCCCCCCCATACCTTTAAAACCATATTATGCTAAATAATAAATAGGGGTTCTAGGGTGAATATAAAAAATGTCATGGATTTCATTTACCTCGCTCCCTTGTATTATTGTAAAAAGTTTAAGAGAATATTTAAAATGTTCAGGGATTTCACTTTTTTAACATCCCATAGAAATTTTCTTGATTTTTCTTTAAAAAAATTGGTATTATAGTATTTTCCGATGTAACCTCAGTTTACAGGGACAAATTTAAAATATTTATTTTTGATACACCCTGTATTTGTAAAAAAGGGTGTTGATCCTCATACTACACATACTAGGCGGGATTAAACCTTGCTCCCATGTACTTAGTATATTTAAAATGTATACCAGGGAATTAAAGGGAGAAAGAGGGGACGGCATTCTCTCTACTCTATAGCTTTTATAAATATAATCTCTAAGTTAACCACGACAAAGAAAAGAAGAAAGGGGGGAGGGGGATTTTTTGGAGAAGGAAATATAAAACTAGAAAAAAGTATATATTAAAATAAATAGTAAGGAATTTTTGGATGAACTCGCTTTCAATAAAAACTAAAATTGTATAACTTCAAAACTGTTTTTTAAACAAGTTTTCCCATCTAAAATAGATTAATTTAACCATTTCAAAACAGCTTTAAACATGGAATATAATACTGATATTTAAATATTCTAATCCTCTGAAATTATCGAATTTAAATCTGATATTTCATGTTAAAACCACATTTGGTTTAATTTTAGATTTATTTAATCATTTAAACATTCAAGAAAAAAGTTTAGGCCGAATTTTGCAGTTACGTCACCATGTGATGACAGGGTGTCCAGCTGAAAAACTGTGAAAATTATTAAGGAGTCCCATCGTTAAAGATAATTTTTTTGAACATTTCAATAATTCTAAGACCCCCTGTAGTTTAATTTTATTGGACCATTGAATGGGTTAGTACCAATTATATGTAATATCAGTTTATTGAAGATACCTTGAAATATAAAACCATCCCTATTAATTNTAACTATAACCTGATCGAATTAAAGCAGGTTAAATTACAAATTAAACGAATATAAATTGATTAATAAAACAAATAAAAATGATAATAATAATAAAGCTTAGATGTTAATTCAAAATGAGAGCGGACCATAAAAAATGTAATAAAAACAAAAATAAAAACCATTGAAAAAAAAACGAAGAAACACAAATTATAATGAAACAACGTATTTTGAATTATACAGTGCATGGTATCTAGAAAACTGTGGAATAAATATCGTCTTCTTACTTCGTTTTGATTTTGAAATTTTAGAAAGGATTCTGAATATATTGTTTGTTAAACACTTCTCTGAAAATATTCAGAAATACTTTTCTGTTGAAATTGTTAATATTAATCGCTTAATCTCAATATCTGATGTGGGCTCTTTTAAATTTGAGATTCAGCGTGTGCTCCATCAAAATAAGTTATTCCTGTAGGTCATAACCATCACACACGGGCAGCCGTTGTACATTTGAATTTCCGAGCCGGGTCACAGTTTGTACTGTACCTAGGTCTATGGGCAGGACTAGCCGGTGTAACAAGGTTGACGCGGTCGGACTTTATGCTTCGCGTATAGGCTGAATTTACTTTTACTAAAGAAGCAGATTTGCGTGTACAGGATATAGAGGAGAAATTAAGTTAATGAGAAGGGGATCAATGCTTGAATTTTGATAAAAAAAAATCAATAATGATAATTTATAATTATATTAAGTTAAAAAGACTGGTTATCCATGACGGAACAAGAAAAAGAAACCCCGGCTCAAAGCGGAAACAGGATTTGTAAACAAGAGGCTGGGTGTTATTGATTACAACCGGATAAGAATAAAGTTTAAATTGTCGTTAGTTCTGGTTAAAAACCAATCTCCTTCCGGCCCCAGGGGTTTATATTTTCTATTTAAAAATACCTCCCTCCACTATATTGTTTCTTTTTTCAATGCCCTAATTTTTTGCGGAAAAAATAACTAAAAAGTTATTAACATTTTTAATTACAGCATACTCCATACTATCATAGCAATTAAAAATATTTTCCTTTATTAATTTTCAATCCCCCCTAGATTCATTTCCGATACCAACCTCCCCCCCGCTGATGGCTCGGAAAGTATCATCCCCCCTTTTTACCACAATTTTCCCTTTAGCACGTGAGTAAAACTCATTGTAGAGCTTTAAAGAGACTGTTTGCAATTATTGTATTCATTCATTGAAATTTAATTGGGGACTTTGCCAAAAAAAACAAACAATAATCTCTAAACGGTTTATCTCTTGAATTACAAGACACATATAAACTAGCGTACAATCCCTTTAACCCTGGTTGGAAACCCTCCCTGCAATATAAACTAGTGAACGATCCCTTCCAACCCTCTCTGCTGGAAACCCTCCCCGCAATATCGTGTTCTAAGCAATTAAATTTGGTCGACCACCATATTGATTAATTGTAGATTACAACAAATTAAACCAGAGCACATGCATAAGTTATCAGGACTTCTGTATGTGGGTAACATGCCCCCCCTGACCTGAGGGGGGGGGAGGGGGTCCTATCGGTTTTATGTTAAAGGCAATATTATGGCCAATAGGATATGAAATGTTATCCTGTATGTTTTAAAGGTGGTTTAATAATGGAAAATCCTCTCCACCTGCTTTGACCGGAAGCTATGATTTTGTATGGAGGGTAAATTGGGATGCTGTCAATCCTTCTAAAGATAAAAGCACGGACAGCTGGAAAAAGAAGGGTTAAATGTCAAATTTTTAGAAACGGAAACAAAAATATAAATATAAAAATTCTATTTACCCGGCGATAATAGAGTTTATACTTCTCCACGCCATCAGGGTTAGGAGGCGGAAGCCAGGTTACCAGGATAGAGAAGGCGGAGATGGGTGTAGCAGAGAGCGAAGTGGGCGGCGAAGGCAGATCTACCTCCGCCTGGGTTCTAATGATGATCGGCGGACTGCTGGACCCCGGTCCGTGGTCATTGTGGGCCAGTACACGGACACTGTACACTGTACCAGGTTGCAGACCCTAAAGTACAATAGTTTGTACAACCGTACATAATAGTACTAGTACAAGTACAGAAGAATAAAAAGAAAGGAAAGGGTACATAGGAGTAAGAAGAAATAAAAGAGACAAATGAATAAAAAACAAGACAATTAATAGAAAGGAAACATGATAATTGATGGCAAATGTTTGGAGAGCAAGACAGGGGCGTTTTCAGGGTGAACAGGGGTAAACCGGGAGGGAGGGGGGAAGGCAATGCCCATCACCTAAAAATTACATCTTTTACATGGCTTTACGACATTCTCAGCTGGCAAAACTATTTAAAAAATTTTTTTTTACAGTTTTGAGATTTTATGTATGTATGTATGTATGTATGTATGTATGTATGTGTATGTATGTATGTATGTATGTATGTATGTATGTATGTATGTATGTATGTATGTATGTATGTATGTATGTATGTATGTATGTATGTATGTATGTATGTATGTATGTATGTATGTATGTATGTATGTATGTATGTATGTATGTATGGGTGTATGTATGTATGGGTGTATGTATGTATGTATGTATGTATGTATGTATGTATGTGTGTATGTAAGTATGTATGTATGTATGTGTAGAGAATACCTGTATTGAGATTTCTTCTAAGGAACCACGACTAGAATTCACAACACGTTCTCTAAACAACAACATTGTTTAACAGAATTTAGAATATATATTTTAACTCAACCCCTATCCTTCTATCCTTCCCTACTCCAAGAAGTATAAGTATAAAACTACTCCAAGTACCCCTCTTATAAATAAAAAAACCTTCTAGTACTCCTTCTATCTTTATATATGCATATACACTACTCCAAGTACCCCTCTTATATATACAAAAACTCCTAGTACTCCTTCCCTACTCCAAGTATATATACACTACTCCAAGAACCCCTTTTATAAATAGAAAAACCTTTTAGAACTCCTTCTATCTTTATATATGTATATACACTACTCCAAGTACCCCTCTTATATATACAAAAACTCCTAGTACTCCTTCCCTACTCCAAGTATATATACACTACTCCAAGAAACCCTTTTATAAATAGAAAAACCTTCTAGAACTCCTTCTATCTTTATATATGTATATAAACTACTCCAAGTACCCCTCTTATAAATACCAAACTTCTAGTACTCCTTCTATCTTTATATATGTATATACACTACTCCAAGTACCCCTCTTATAAATACAAAAACTCCTAGTACTCCTTTTATCTTTATATATATAAATACACTACACCAAGAATACCTCTTTTAAATACAAAAACTCCTAGTACTCCTTCTATCTTTATATATGTTTATGCACTACCCCAAGAACTCCTCTTATAAATATAAAACTCCTAGTACTCTCCTTTTATCTTTATATCTGCAGCATACAATACTCTAAATACCCTTCTTATAAATATAAAACTCCAAGTACTCTCCTTCTATTTTATATATATATACAGTATACAATGCTCAAATATACCCTTCTTATAAACTCCTAATATTTCTTTATATTTATATACATTGTACAATACTCAAATATACCCCTCTTATAAACTCCTAATATTCCTTTTATATTTATATACAGTATACAATACTCAAATATACCCCTCTTATAAAACTCCTAATATTCCTTTATATTTATATACAGTATACAATACTCAAGTATACCCTCCTTATAAACTCCTAATATTCCTTTATATTTATATAAACTATACAATACTCAAATATACCCTCCTTATAAACTCCTAATATTCCTTTTATATTTATATATAGTTTACAATACTCAAATATACCCATCTTATAAACTCCTAATATTCCTTTATATTTATATACTATACAATACTCAAATATACCCATCTTATTAACTCCTAATATTTCTTTTATTTTTATATACAGTATACAATACTTCAAGTACTCCTCAAGTCCCATTTTTATAAATGCAAAAATCCAGAGGTTATAACTTTTTGATTGGTATAGCGGTTAATCATATCCAACTGATCTCGATATCGATGTAAAATTATAAATTGAAGGATTTAAGTCTAAACTCCAGAAATATAAGATGATGAAGAGTTGCCAACCCACAAACCTTAGCACTGTTAATTAAGAAATATGATAAAACCTTGATTTTGCATAGAAAATCTATTAACAAAAGAAATCCATTTTCTTGGCGTTTTCATTTTTCCACAAAATAATGTTTTGTTTCAGGTTGAAAAAGAAACGTTCGGAGAAATCTATTTCCTTTTCACAAATTTCTGTATTTCTAGCTTTAATTTTGCTTGCTTCGCTCTTTTGAACAAAATTCTGATAAATTTGTTAAAATAAATCAAGAAAAAGAAACAATAAGCTATTTCTAAAGAACTCATTATTTCATGTTTGAAATAAAAAATACAAACACCAAAAACAGAAAAGATAATATTTAAAAAGTATAAAATCACATTTTAGTCAAGTTTTTTCCAAAAAATTGAACTGTAGTCAAATCTGTTGGTTTGCAAGGAAAAGATACACCCCATATGTTTGTTTATATAAATAGTAAACTGAAGTTAGAGCTTTAGTGCTGTGAATATGGGGATCAAGCTTTAATCTCCATCTTATGCAGACATGCGGATTAATTTAATTCCTCTTCCGTATCCCCTGGTGGTCACACCCTGCAGGGATAACTTTAATTGAGAGACATTAACCTTAAATTTAAAATTGCCCACATTTAATATCGAGATCCAGCGTTTAAGTTTAAAAGCGTTGTTACTTCAAACAAACTTTAATTGAGAGATCAAGCATTAATCCTCAAATTTCATTTTAAAATCATTTCCACCAATTTAACATTCCTACCATACTGAAAAAAAATTAACTAAAAATAAGGGGTGGGGGAGTACTTTAAAAAATAAAATATACCTCTCAGAACCCTGTTGTGTGTAGAAGACGGAGTACCCAGTGATCTGCTCCGTGTCCAGGTCCGCCGGGTGCTCCCAGGACAGGGTCAAGAACCTTGTGCTCGTGATGACCGCCTCCAGGTTAGTGGGCGGCCCAGGAACACCCTTCAGCAGGCCACCACCTAGCAGAGACAGTGGACGGGCTGTGGTAACACCCCCAACCACTGCATACAGACCAAAATAAAATTTTAACAAAATAAAATAAATTAAAAAGTCTTTTTGCGCAAAAAATATCGATAATTTTTGTTTAAGCTTTAATTGCCGCGCAAAAAAACTTTTTTTTCTGTTCAACAAGCAAATAAAAAAACATATTTGGGATAAAAAAATCTATTCAAATGAAATAACTATTTCTCAGAAAAAAACATATTAGGGATAAAAATGTTATCTATAAAAAATTAGATATCTAGGGGGAGGGTTGCTAAAATAAACAATACTAATTAAATAAAATGATAAATAAGATGCAACATGCGGTAAGAAAAAAGGGTTAAATCATTAAAATTAAAAGCAAGCAAGGTCTGAAGTCAGTGGTTGAATTATAAATGAACAATTTATCAGCATCATTCAAGTGATAAAAACGGTTAATATCAATATAAATATAAATATTTAAAAAGAAGTTTTGAATAAAAAGAATGGCTTAAATAAATAGATTTAAATGGATAGATGAATTTGAATATTGAAAGGATAGATTTGAATATTGAATGAACGTATTTGAATATTGAATGAATGGATTTGAATGATATATGGATTTAAATACTGAATGAATAGATTTAAATAAAAATTAATGGAGTTGAGTGTTGAATGAATGGATTTAAAATTTGAATGAATAGATTTGAATGATGAAAGGATGGATTTGTGACGAATGAATGGATTTTAATGATAAATAATGAATGAATAGATTTAAATGATAAATAAATGGATTTGAATATAGAATGAATGGATTTGAACATTGAACGAATGGATTTGAATATTGAACGAATAGATTTAAATATTGAACGAATGGATTTGAATATTGAACGAATGGATTTTAATATTGAACAATTGGATTAGAATATTGAATGAATGGATTTGAATATGAAATGAATGGATTTGAACATTTAATCAATGGATTTGAATAATGAACGAATGGATTCGGATATTAAATGAATGGATTTGAATAATGAATAGATGGATTTGAATAATGACTAGATGGAATTAAATGATGAATATATGGATTTGAATGTTGAATGAAGGCATTTAAATACTGAATGAATAAATTTAAATAAAAATGAATGGAGTTGAGTGTTGAATGAATGGATTTTAATGATAAATAATGAATGAATAGATTTAAATATATTAAATAAATGGACTTAAATATTGAATGAATAGAGTTGAATATTGAATGAATGGATTTGAATATGGAATGAATGGATTTGAACATTGAATCAATGGATTTGAATATTGAACGAATAGATTTGAATATTGAATGAATCGATTTAAATTATGAATATATCGATTAGAATCTTGAATGAATGGAATTAAGTGTTGAATTATGTGAATATTAAGTATAAGATACAGAATAGAGATGATGGGTGAATAATCCTGTTTAATTTCAACCAAATGGGTTTTCTATGTGGAAACCATTACAGGCAAATTTAATTTAAAAGGACAAAGGAGTGAGAGTGCACTGGGGGATATAGCGGGGGTAGGGCCGTAGGGGCTGGAAGGATAAGGAAGGGGAGGGGTTAATATTAAAACAGGAGAAACTTCAGGGGAAGATGCTAGGGAAGATAAAAAAGACAGAAAAAAGTATTTTGAGATTTTGTAAAATTATGTGCAAAACTGTAAAATAAATATAAAAAGAATATAAAAATAAATATCTCCGTCTAGCATGATATTGAGATATGAAGACGACTAAATATCTCCGTCTAGCAAGATATTGAGATATGAAGACGACTAAATATCTCCGTCTAGCAAGATATTGAGATAGGAAGACGACTAAATATCTCCGTCTAACAAGATATTGAGATATGAAGATGACTAAATATCTCCCGTCTAGCTAGATATTGAGATATGAAGATGACTAAATATCTCCGTCTAGCAAGATATTGAGATATGAAGATGACTAAATATCTCCGTCTAGCTAGATATTGAGATATGAAGATGACTGAATATCTCCGTCTAGCTGGATATTGAGATATGAAGATGACTTTCCCCCTCCCTTGAAGATTAATAGCACAATTATAGTAATTTTTCCCGTAGAACGTTGAGGAAGCCAATTATAAGGATTTGGACAACATAATCTTAAAATTTATGTGAAACTCTTTTGACAGAGTTCACTTCGTAATTCATCAAGTAACATAAAAAACATTTTAATGGTGAGATCTTGAAGGGTCGGTCGACATACTTTCAAGTAACCCTCAATCTAAAGCGTATCATTCACCATTCACAACGGACATTTTATCCCGTCCTCGAAATTATACTAAGGAGGATATCTTCGTTTCTTTTGTCTTAAAAGTTCTTCTCTTCATTTCCTTGCTTTTCTATAAATGCATAAATCCGCAAGTTACTCTTAAAGAGAACCGGAATTAAAAATAGCCCATTTTGAATTGAAAAAAAGGAGACAAAGGTATAAAATCGGACTTGCCACTCTGTCAACGGAGAGTCACTTGAAATTAATTCCCGTTAAAATCTCTTTCTAGAGACACTCTTTAATACAATAAAAAATTAATTTCTTTTCTTTTTAAAATGACTCCATTGAGAACATCAAAAAGAAACGGAAACTAACTGAACTAGTTTTTCTAAAAAAACACTTTAAAAATAGTAAAATCGATTTATAAGAATTTCAGTATGTATTGATTTATAAGAAGTGTAGATGCAGTGACTAGAAATACATAAAAGTGTTCGGTTCGGTTCGGTTCAGTTCAGTTCGGTTCGGTTCCGTTCGGTTCGGTTCGGTTATTACAAAACGATATGCAAGGATAACTGACAGGGGTCAATTTCAAATAACAGTAAAGTTAATGGTTAATGGTTAGTACAGAATAAAGATATCAAGTATACTAACCGAGGAATCATATTAAAATGTAATACAACTTATTGGTTTAGTTTAAATAAAATTTTAAGCAATTGTTAAAAAACTTTTTAAAGAAATTCCTCTTTTATTATTCTTGAGCTAGTTAATTCAGGGCTACTAGATAATGTTAATTTTTTATCTATTTGGATAGGGTAGGAAAAAATAAAATCCCAGTTGTACAGTGTACAGTGCTCATTGCCCAATGTATTGTATAGTGATAACCAATATTTGAATGATTTTCGCCCATGCATTCTCACTTTAAATTGGAAATGCCCTTAAGGATTTTGTATTCGTAACTGTAAAATTACCATTGTCCGGGGCATATCATAAGAACAGTTACATATAGCAAAGACGACAATCATTCCACTGTTTTATGATTATCACTGTACATACTCGGTAAAAATGCTGACATCAGCTTAAAATCTAATTCTGGTCAAATCTAACTTTAATTTTAGCGCACTGTCAATAAACAGATTAGAAATAGGATTTATTTGATTGAGAACATTTAGTGTTTAATTTATACCTTTAGATTTGACTTGAAGTATAGCTGGTGCTTGGATACTGCCTGCAGGGTTAGTTGCTAGGCACTGATATACTCCAGCATCTGAACTAACCAGACCCAGGATCTTTAGGTTCTTCCCCCGGACAAACTAAAAAGGAGGTTAAGAGACGGAGATTGAAAAAAATCATGAAACATTGGCGAATGGTGAAAATAACATGATTATGCGTGTACTGCGTGTACTGTTCAATGTAAATAGTAGCTTCTTATGTACAAAGAGATGAAAAACGGAGTGAGCTGAGAAAGGAGATATTGTCCGCAAAAGATAAGTCTGAAAATGGGAGACAAATTTATAAATATTAAAAGACAAGGAAATAAAAAACGAAGAAATGATTTTAAACGGGAAAATGACTTTTAAAAAAATCAAAGAAAAGAAGAAAAAATGTTGTTAGAAAACAAAAATAGAATTTCTACAGTTTATATTAATTTAAGAGAAATAATAAACAGTAAAACCAACCAATAAAATTCCCCTAACACCATTTAAATGCTAAGATTATGCAATCTTACATATATTAGGATGGTATTCTAGGAATATTAAGAACAAAATTTAAATATGAATACACATTATCGATATTTATCATAACAGAAACTTTGAAACTTTTAATAAATAGTTTTAGTTGAAAAATTTGGGTTTCCTTTATTTTTCAGAGGTTATCAAACCTTTGCTCTCATACCTTCCAGCAAAGTTTAAAATTGTTAAAATTCAATTTTATCTAAAACTATTTTTGATGCTTACTTTGCATTCTCGTGCAAAATTCTTGATATCATTTTATCAAGAATTTGAAGAAAATTAAGTTTAAACCTGTTTTGTTGGGACTATGTTTGTTTACATCCAAGCCCAGAGTAAATTGCGGGTAATAATGTATATTTTAACTGTAAACATAATATACCTGGAAATATTCGCTTTCTATGATGAGATCTCCGTTTTTAAACCATTGCACAGTTGGTTCAGGATATCCCAACACCTCACAGTCAAACAAAATGTCGTCTTTTTCATACGACATGTGATTCGCCGGCATCTTAATGAACTGAGGCGGAACTTGAACCTGCACTTCCAGGGCGGAGTCAATAACATCCTCGGTGTTCTCCGCCCGACACTGGTATCCGCCAGCGTCTGCCAAACGAACGTTGTTGACGACCAAGGAGCCGTTTCCGGTTCTTGCGTAGCGCCGGTCTTCCATCTCCAGTTCCTTACCATCTTTAAGCCAAGATATGGTGGGGGGAGGGACGCCGTTGGCGGCACACTCCAGGAACACGTTCAACCCCTCCACCACCTTGACGGATGAGGCGAAGGAGATGAAGGTGGGAGGCTGTGGCTGTAAACTGCTGGCAATATCAAGGTTGATTTTCAGGTCTCCAGCTGAGCTTTTAGCAGAACCAGCCATACATCTAAATATCACAAAAAATAAAAAATTAAAATAATAAATATTTATAAAACTAGTTTCTTATGTAAAAGATTCAAAATAAAACTTAAATAAAAACAAAATCTTAACCATTGACCAGCTAAAATTGTATAGCCCTGGTGCCGAGCCGGGGACATAAAGTTATTTTACCTGTAAGAAGCTCTATCACTTGTCCTAACATCCGTTATTTCCAGACTTCCGGACTGAAGAACGGATATCCGGTTATCCAGGACAACAGGGCGGTCATTCTTCATCCAGGACACCTACAGGAAACAATTATTGCGGTCATCAGATTTAGGAGATCAGGTAATGGTTCCATCTTTAATAAATAACATTCAATCAGATTTTTTTAAATTTAAAAGTAGTCGTGGTATTTAATTTCATTTTGGCAAATATTGTACATTAAATTTTTATAAAACCCATCATAATGTGCTAAAGCAATGTTAAATCTATTGCTTCCAGGGGGTTCTAGATCGAAACAGGAACTGAAAACCCGCCCCCCCAGGCCCCCATTGAAAGAAAAAAATTCTAATTTCGAAATACGCCTTGAGTAAATTTGTCTTTAATACCCCCCACTTTTTTACATTTTAATTTAATGCTTTAAATAGAATATAAGGTATTCAATTCTTAATGAAACCAGAATGCATCAAATGCATCAAATGCATCAAATACTATCATGCAAATGCATGCTGAATATTCATAACTTTATTGCAAGTTCAGCATTTCATAATTAATAATTAAACAATGCTACGGATCAGCTCCCATTTAGAATTAATAAACATGATTTAACGCAAAAATAATCTATTTATTATATCTTAGTAATACCTGTATAACGAAGAAACTTTTCATTATCACAACTCATAATTTTGTAATCGTCGAAGACCTTTGATATTTCAGGTTGCAAAGAAGTAACCATTTGAAAAATAAAATTTGAGGAAACTGTTCAAATCCTATCTTGTAAAAAATTGTGCCTCTAATGCTGAACAGGAAAACTGGAGACAGTAAGTGCATATGGGTTAAAAGAAAATAGAAATAGGAAAAATGCAACCATATCAGGCAAGAACTGCAACCAGTGCAGAAATGGCATCAATTGCAAATTAAAAGAATTTCATTAGAAACATGAAACTAATCTATCTAATTTGCAATTAAAGGGACTGTACGCGTAACCTTTAATCGTTCGTCTGAATTTAATGATTTGTAATTCCTCAGTTTATCCTTCCGAATCAATGAAAGAAAGGGCACCTTTAAAGGTAAATCGGACTAACGTCTCTTTAAATAGAGGGTCATTTGAAATTACGGCTGAGAGTCTCTTTAAATGCATTTAGATCAATACTTAGCTACAGCAATCCAAACTCCTAAATTAATCAAGCAACTGAAAACTTCTCTTTATTAAAACTTTATATTCCAAACTTTGAAGAGATTAAGTTTTCAGAAAATAAAAGCTTGCAAAAACTTTTTTTTCTCAGCAAATCCACAAGGAAAAGAATGCAAACTATGCAAAATATGCGAGGAAATATTTGCAAAAAAATATAACTATTCATGTTACGCTCAAAAGAAAAAGACAAACAATTAGACAGATATTTGGCACAAACATTAAGACATGGACAAAAAATAACAGATAACCGTTATTAAACGTCAGACTTTTATTGCTTAGGTTAGGTCAACAGTTTTCTGGGGGCTGTAAACGTTCCGTTAGTACGTCAGTCAGTCAGTCAGACAGTAAGTCAGTCTCAATCAATCAATCAATCAATCAATCAATCAATCATCCATCTAATACCTGGATTGCAGGTTTGGTTTGGCAAGCGAAAAGTGCGGTTTGGCCTGGGAATACTGTTAGACTAGAAGGACTCTTAACAAAAACAGCTTCTTCTAAAATAGAAAATTATTTAACATTAATAAAAATTCTTGTAAAAATGTATTTCACAGATTTTATGTTACCCACAACGGATGAAACTTAAATCACAACATAAAACGCTTCACATCTGAAGATCTGAGGCTGAATTTAATCTACCTCGTCAAATATAGCCTTTCAAAAGTCACATTATAATGTAATAATGTTAAAATGTAAAAATATAAAAAAAATAGTCTTATTCTTTTCAAAAACCTTGTTTCTCAATAAAGTAATATTTTTTTATGAAATTAAGATTTATAAAAGTTTTCAATTATTTTAAGTTTTCTTTAATCAAGCTTTGAAATTAATCCTTTGAAATATTTAAGAGAAATAAACAAAAGCTATAAACAGAAACAGAATAAAATAAATTTGAAGAATTAATTTACAAAATTTTAATAAAGTAAATTAAACTGAAAGGACAGCAGGGGGGGGGGAATACTGAAATTATAAATATTTAGATAGAATTAGGCCAGCTACAGAGCTCTGCGAGAAATAAAATTAGGAGATTAAAAAAAACGAAAAGTAAAAAATAAAAGGTTTTGAAATTGGACAAAGTTATGTTAAAAGATTTAAAATAACACCAAAAGAAAAAATAAAATTAGACAGAGGGAATAAAAAATAAAATAAAATCAATACATCACAAAATATCAATAATTGGTTTAACTTTCTAAATTAAAAACCAACTGACCTAAAACTGTAACCCTGGCCACCCTTGAGATGATGGTTCCCACCCCTGGGAGGGTAGCAGTACACTGGTACCCCCCCTCCTCACCCTTCACACCCCTGACCACCAGGCTTCCGTTCAACAGGGGCGACAAGGCCACCTCTACACCATCTTTTCGCCATCTAAAAAAATAGTTACTTTTAAATCATAATTTCTTTTTAATAGTTAACGAAGACCCATAAAAAATCGGATTTGTGAACAATTAAAAAAGTAATGATTGTTTAACATGAATATAAACAGTAAACTATTTGAGAAACTTGGAGAATTTATTAAGAAGAGCAGTTTTTTGCCCTCAGAAACTTTTCACCTTTTAGGTGTAAAGTTTTTACTTTAAAAGTTTTTGTATTTTGTTTATTTAGTAAGCTTTTGTTGAAGCTTTGAAATAGAATGTGTGGAAAGTTAGTGTTTATGTTATTGGAAGAATGTAATCTTGTTCGTTAACTTTAGGGTCAGTTTGTTATTTTATGAATAATAGAATAATAATATTTTGATTATTTAAATATTTTATTTCTAATCCCCCTTTTTGCCAGAGGTTTGGGGGGGAGGGGGGGGAGTGAGATTGAACCTTCCATTTCATTAAGAATCATATTCACCAAATTCAGAAATTTTCATAAAAATCTATTCTTTTTAAATTTTACAAAAACACTAAAACTAGAAAGTGAGTACATAAGGTTAAAAAAAACCTTCTATAAGATAGTATTTCTCTCATAAACGGAAGAAAAAAATCTTTCTTGTTGGTAAATGGGTCAAATACTTTTAATTACTTATTTTTTGTTGTTATCAATATCCTTTCAATATCAGTGTAGCTTATTGTATTGTTTATTAATTTTTATTATTTTATCAAATATTTTCTAAATGAAAAAATCCTAGTACGATAAAAAAGAGGTTGTACAAAATTCCATTCTGTAGCTCACTGATACAAATTAGTAAAAGAATAAGAAAATCTTGAAAGGGTTTGACTGAACTAAAATTAGATCAGATTTTTGAATAAAACAGGTGTAATTGGATTTTCAATATTATTACGCAAATCTAAATCAATTTCTCGCAAATGCTTTGACGGCTTTAATTCAAAACAACAATTTATCATATACAGGGCAGGGCGTCCCAAGAAAGCAAAATTTATGACATTCAATAATTGTTTTCCACATTTTTTAAGTATAGTTTAGTTTATAGTTTATAGTATCTAAAAAGGGATTTATGATTAAAACATAAGTGCAATTTACTTTATTTTTGCGTAGTTTCTCAATTTTCTAAGCCTGGGAACCCGGATTTTAGACACAAAAGTTTCGCCCCTGAGTAGAAGTTAAAATGTCCTACCTGATAGTTGGTGCAGGTTGACCTACAGCTACACAGTCCAGTGCTGACCTTGACCCGGTCAACACAAGGTCAGCAGGTTCAACCTCCAGGTAGAACCTCGGGAACACATCTAAACAAAATATATCAAAATCATTTTTCATTTTTATGAAAAAAATTATTAAAAATCTTTTCCAGCAAGAAGTAAATAGCTCGAGAAACCTTATTCTTGTTTTTTATCCCCAGGAAGCCTTAAACTCTGTTTTTTGTTTAGTAATAATAAACCTTGGAACACGGTTTCACACATTTTGATATCAAATATTCCCTTGCGCAAGTAAGAATCCCCCCCCCTCAAATTTCTGATCTGAATTTTAGTTGCCCCTAGGATCCTGTTTATGTACTTTATGCAAACCGACAAATAAAGACTTCAAAGAGATCTACTGAGATTTTTCACCGATATTTTTTATTCCTCGGCAATAAAAGTTAATTTCAAACCATTCAATGCTTGCTACAAGATTCTAATAAAACTTAAATAACATCAGATCATTTATTTTAATTATCTCAGGTAGTCATTATAGTCTCATCCTTTGTAGATAACCCTGTTTGCTTGTTTGTTTGTTTGTTTTCATGTTTCTAACAATCTGGTGCAACGAGTTTGTGTTTAATGTTGATATTGGTTTGTTTACTGTTTACATCTCTTATTTCCGGACCTACTTCCGCTGCAGTACATATCTAACAGGGTTTCATTTCATTTTAGAATAAAAGGGGTGCTTTTTACCATTGTTTCTAGGGGTTCATTTTAGATCAGGCTGAAATTATATATCTTTTGATTCTTTGCATTGGTTTATTACAGCTCAGTTTAAGAGGTTAATTTTTAATATGAGTTTAAGGGGTTCATTTTCGATCCATTCAAAAAACGATAAAATCATCTGATTTTATCGTTTTTGAATGGATCGATTCTAGATCAGGCGACGGTGACATATTTTGACCATTGTTTCCAGGGGTTCGCCTCTTTTAACATACAAATGTCATGAAAGGTTTAAACGCTTGTAAAACAGAGGTGATTTTTTTGACACAATTTCGGGTTGATTTTATAAAATTTTCAGAGACTCCATTTTTTAGGAATTTACTTTTACAAGATTTTAGTTCATTTTAAATAGGATGCACATTTTTTTTAAATTTCAATGATTGCTTCTGACAATGCTTTCTTCTCACTTTGTATTCGTATCTTGTTAAACGGGAGAATTTTAAAGTTGAAATTAAAAATTAAGGAAAAGTAGGAAGGGGAGGGAAGTTAAGTAGGGTTAGGGGAGAAGACGGGGTGGGGAGTTAAGTAGAGCTAAGGGAGTAGACAGGGGGGAGGGTGAAAAGATCTAGGGAGTGGTTGAGGATAAGTAGGAAAGAAGGAGAGAAGTAAACAGGAAAGGGGGAGTGAAACGATAAAGTAAAGAAGATCTGGAAAAGCAAAAAGGAGAAGAAGGGGGCAGGAGTGAAAAAATGAGGAGTACTAAAGAAAGAGTAAGTGAGATAAAAGAACCGAGTTTAAAACCGGGCGGGGGATGCTTAATGCTTTATCTTCTGTTAATTTACGATCTTAAAATTTTAAACTCCTTTTATCAGAGTCTTTCATGTTCTACCCCCTCCCCCCTCCGCTCGGATAGTTGGATTTAGTAAGCTGGGCCCATTAATCTGGGCCCTATATATCAAGTTAACAACACTGAAAGTAGCAAACAGGCAATTTAAGCCGAGATTAGGGTTTACCTCTTGCAGGTTTAATGTACACTTAGTGTTTATCCTATACTAGACCAAACCATTACAATTACATTTGTAATGGTGATATTTACCCCCCCCCCCACATACTTTCTTTACTAAATGTATAACTTTGAATAAGTGCTGAGGGTTTGCACTTAAAAGCGGCTTGAATTCGGATCCGGTTTTATTGCGTATACTTGAATCCGGATCCGGTTTTATTGCATATACTTGAATCCGGATCCGGTTTTATTGCATATACTTGAATCCGGATCCGGTTTTATTGCATATACTTGAATCCGGATCCGGTTTTTATGCAGAACCTCAGATTTGAAATAAAGAAAAAGTAAAAATTGAAAAAACACTTTTTTTGCATTTGGATATATTTCATTGATGAAAATGGTTTTAACATAACTTTAAACTGAATTTAATTCCGTGAATTAGTCAAACTTTTACCCCGACAAAAACACCAGTACTATAGTGCACTTAAATCAATCAAACTTATCTGTATTTTCCAAATATTAAAAAGATTAATTATTGATAAGTTTATAACGTAAAAAATTGCTTCTAAAAAATATCGATTTTACAGTTTATAGTTATACAAAAAGAGAAATTTCCGCCCCCCCCCTCCCCCCCCTTTAACATAATTCATTGGTAACCGCAAATTTGCAACATATTTTGCACATGGAAGAGAGTGCAAAGAGAGAGGCGGTGTTGGTGCTAGCCTGTGCATTTTGTGGTTGGCAAAGGGTTTGCAAACTTAGTAGATGAGACTAGTGTACAATAGTTTCTCCAACCCGAACCGGATATATTTAACCGGAAATAAAGGGACTGCTCATCAACTTTGAAAGAGGGGTAAACAATGAACCATAAATATTTTTTGAGTTTCTAAGCAAGTTTGTATACTCTTCCTTCGAAGTATGTGCTTAAATAACAATTTACGTCCGGAGGCCGCCCCCGTCCCATCCCCAATTTACCATTCGCCGACATCCCCTTTATAAGGGATATATTAACTTTGTCCATGTTATTTTTCTGTGATGACCCCTCTTTCGTCATATTTTAGTTTATTTTTACGATATTAAACTGAGTTTTACATCAGGTTTTACATCTCCGCAGAGGATGAGATTTATTTTGTTTTTCTTATCCCGCCATCTAGTCTAGTCTATATAAACTAGAACTATACACCAACCTTAACGATATTGAACAATGTTTTACTGACAACAGCCTTTATTTGTCCTCAGAGGCTTACTATCTTAAAATAATATAAGCCCCATTCCCACCCCTGATCACAACCGCGGCCCCCTCTGGTAAAGAGTCGGAGCCCCCTCCCCCTGCTCTGACATTGCAGGTGTATATTGGACCTTATCTTTGGTACAGAGTTAAGTTGCAACCCTATCCAGTAATCAAATACACACAAGGGGGTCCCTTGGCAATTCTTCAGGAGNGGGGTTGTCAGTGGATGTAGTGGAGAGAGTTGAACATACAAAAGCATCTTATGTTCCCCTGACATGTTTATACCTAAAGAAATATAAGGAAACAATGGAAATCAATTAGTAATACCCCATCTAACCCCCTTCAACTCTTTTCTTGAGCATCACTCCACCTACAGTGGCCGGCGTTTATATCAATACAATAAAGACGACGTTAATTTTTAAGTGTTGATTTTGAACAAGGTTTTTTCAAATTACAAGTTACAAGTAAACACGTAGATGGTGTAAAATTGACAGCTTATCATTGTTTCCATGTGTATGTGTATCCATGCTGTTTAACAGCTTGGTAGAAATTGCAATCGAAAGTCGTCTTTATTGCATTGATATGTACGACGACGACTGCACTACGGAATACAGGGTAATTTTTTTATCTTTTATTTGTTAGAAATATTGAGTAAACCATCCTGTAACTAGGTTCTGGTTTGATTTGTAAACCCTAAACTAAACAAACAAAACCAAGAAATACAGGAATACAAGTTGACAGGAAGACAGGTAGACAAGTAGACAAGTAGACAGGTAGACAAGTAGACAGGAAGATAAGTAGACAGGTAGACAAGTAGACAGGTGGACAAGTAGACAGGTAGACAAGTACACAAGTACGTGTAGACAAGTAGACAATTCTTTCAAGGTATACAGAAAGTATTTATAAAAGGTTTTCACAAAAAAATAAAAAAATTAAGACGATTTTAAAGTCGTTACTTCCATGTTTTTTGGGAAACACTGTGCAATGTACAATAAAACTGAAGTAGAAAGGAGGAGAGGGTTGGTTTTAAACTCAAGTGTTCTTTGTGTATTTATCAAAAGAGGGATGAAAGTAAGGGGAAGGGGGATGCTGCAGGATGAATATATTTGCAAAATATTAAAAATCAATTGCAAACACATATTTTCTATGAAGATTTTAGGAGACTAAGACAGTGGAAAGTTTTAGAAGTTTTAGAAGATTGTTGAATCTAGTAGTATATTGTGGAAGATTGTGGAAGGTTGTGAAAGGTTGAGTAAGGTTGTGGTAGGTTGTGGAAGGATGCGGAAGGTTGTGCAAGATTGTAGAAGAATGTGGTAGGTTGTGGTAAGTCGAAAAAGGTTGTGAAAGGTTGTGAAGGCTGTGAAAGGTTGTGGATGGGTATTGGAAGGATGTGGAAGATTGTGGAAGGTTTTGGAAGGTTTTGGAAGGTTGTAGAAGGTTGTGGAAGGTTGCGGAAGGTTGTGCATGATTGTCGAACAATGTGGTAGGTTGTGGAAGGTTGTGCATGATTGTCAGATTGTGGAAGCTTGTGTAAGGTTGTGAAAGGTTTCGGTAGGTTATGGAATGCTCTGAAAGGTAGTGGAAGGTTGTGGAAGGTTATGGAATGCTCTGAAAGGTAGGGGAAGGTTGTGGAAGTTAGCAGACGTTTATGGAAAGTTGTGGAAGGTTGTGGAAGGTTGTGAAAGGTTGCGGAAGGTTGTGGAAGGTTATGAAATGATCTACAAGGTAGTGGATTGTTGTGGAAGGTTTTGGAATGCCCTGAAAGGTAGTGGAAGGTTGTGGTAGGTTATGGAATGCTCTGAAAGGTAGGGGAATGTTGTGGAAGCTAGTAGAAGTTTATGGAAAGTTGTGGAGGGTTGTAAAAGGTTTTGGAAGGTTGTGGAAGAATGTATACATGATTATCGAACAATGTGGTAGGTATTGGTAGGTTGTGGAAGGTTGTGGAAGGTTGTGGAAGGTTATGGAATGCTCTGAAAGGTTGTGGTAGGTTATGGAATGCTCTGAAAGGTTGTGGTAGGTTATGGAATACTCTGAAAGGTGTTGGAAGGTAGTGGAAGGTTATGGAATGCTCTGAAAGGTTGTGGAAGGTTATAGAATGCTCTGAAAGGTAGGGGAAGGTTGTGGAAGTTAGTGGAAGTTTATAGAAGGTTGTGGAGGTTTGTGGAGGTTTATGGAAGTTTATGGAAGGTTATGGAATGCTCTGAAAGGTGTTGAAGGGTAAAGAAAAGAATATTTTGTCTCTGAGTTAGTTTTGTTGATTGGATTCCCCAGAAACCAGGGGAAAATGTCTTCATAAATATATTTTCTGGAGTTAATCCAAAATATTTTCAATATGTTATCCAATAACTTTCTCATTCTTTCATGTTTATATGCTGTGTGTATTCTAAAAGAAATTATGTGGAAATGTTTTAATTTTAAAAAACTTAAATATCTTTTGAAAAAATTTGACTGAAAAGCCCTAACAAAAATAAAAAATATTTATCCAATCGTTGAAATATTATTGAAAGAATATTTTCTTTCTTTTATTACAATCTTACATATTTGTCTTAATATTTTGACTCAAGCAAAAACCTTTGATGGAATGTTGCATGAAAACAAATTTGAACGAAAAACATAAAAAATTTATCTAAAAATCCCCGGATTCAAAACTAATTAAAACTCGAAGAAAAATATCAAAACTTTGTAAAAACAAGTGCTGAGAAAATATTAAAAGTAAATCTTTAAATCAATATTGAAAATATTAAAGGTAAATCTTTAAATCAATTGAGGGGAGGGAGGGAGGGGGGGGCGTCAATGTGTGAAATAAAAGTTTCCCGAAAGCAGATAGGGAGAATGTACAGGGGAGAGAATAGTTTATTTAAATTCAAGATTTTACAGGATTCATTTATTTGTAAACATTACTAATAGGACAAGGAAGGTTGGGAAAATAGGGGAAATATGGGAGGAGGGGGAACTAAGCCCCATCACCCCCCGGGGGGTGATGGGGGGAGCCCCCCATGAATTCCATGATAGGGGATCATGGAAACTAAACTAGGAATATCATAATGTTAATGAAAAAATCTTCAATAGAAGATAAGAGAAGAAATATTGGATAAAGGAAACAAGAAAAGAAGATAAGAGAAAGGGAAGATAAAAGAAAGGAAAGAAAGGGAAAGAAGTGTGGTGATAGGAAAGGGATAAGAAAAATAGGAAAAGGAGAAGAAAGAGGTTTATGGAAGGAGGAGACAGGAAATGAAAAAGATGAGGAAATGAAAGGGAAAGAAATGGATATCTAGAGAGAATGAAAGAGACAGGGAGAGAAAAATACGAGATGGAGAGATTAAAAAGAGAAGAAGTATGTGACGAAACGAAAGATGTAGAAAGGAGAAAAGGAAGAAAAGAAATAGGAAAGAAAGGGGGTTGGAGAGAGAAGAAATTGGAAAGAAAGTAAGGTAGGTGAGGGAAAGAAAGGCGAAGATGAAGAGGGAAGAGGAAAAGGTAGGATTGAGAAAGAAAGAGTCAGAAAGGGGAAAGGAAAAAGAAAGGGGAAAGGGGAAAGGAAAAAGAAAGGGGCAAGAAAAAGAAAGATAAGGGGAGTTGTATAAAGGTGTGAAGAAGGACCTTTCACAGAATCTTCTGTATAAACACACTTGTAGGCTTATACAAACAAATCAAGAGGGGGGGGGGTTGTTTAGGGGAAGGGCTTCTATAAGGGGGGGGGGAGTCAAAGGGGTGGCTGGGACTACTACAAGAGGTTTACTTATAACACATTCAACAAAAATAAATACTAACGTTTCATCATTCAGTAGTTACAGATAATAATATGTAATATTTAGGTCAGGATTAGGATTAGGATCAGGTTTAGCTTTAGGTATAGGTTTTAGGTTAAGGTATAGGTTAATGTATAATTTTAAGTTTTAGGTTCATATTAAGGTTAATTTTGCAGCTTTAGATGAATTTCCGAAGGTTTATTTATGCGTATAAAGTTGTTAAAGTTACATGCAAGTATCGTTAGGTTTAATTATAGGTTTAGATTTCGGTTCAGGTTTAGATTAAGGTTTCTGCTTAGAATTAAGAGGTTTAATTTTAGGTTTAGGGTCAGGAGGTTTTTTTTATCTTGGGTTAGGTTTAAGTTTTAGAATTTTAGATTTCAGCTAAATTTCTTGTTGTTCTTCTTCGTTATTTTTCTCGAGTTCACTGACCCGAAATTCCCTCATCTTTCGACATAAGAGTTTTGCATACTGTGTTAAAATGTAAACATTAAACAATTTTTACAGATAAATTTTACATTTTTATCATTCGAACCTTGCCACAAGTCAGGTTATAATAAAAGATTATAATTTAGGATTTAATTAGATCTTAGGACCGAGGATTTCTATGTCCAAAATTTAACTTTCGACTGCGGCTATTAAAAAACCAAAATCCTGTCGTAGATTTTAGATATTTTAAACTATATATGGATTCTATTAGTTCAAATAATTTAAGTTTAAAATATTACACCGTCAGGTTGAAAAGATATAGGGATTAGAAATTTGAGTTTGGGGCAAAGACTCAATTCCTTTCATTTTTGATTGCGCCTTTAAAACCAAAATTCTTTGACAATATTTAAGGGCAGAGAGAGTTTTCAAATTATAAATCCATGATTTTTAAAAAATATCCGATCAAATTATTAAAAGTTGGAAATATTAATGGTTTACACCATTAAGTTGCACAGATAAAGGACTTAGAACATTTGAGTTTGAGGCAAAGACACAATTCCTTTATTTTAAAAATGATCCGCATGTTCTAACCTGAGGAGGAGCAAGTGATGAGAAGAGAGAAGGTTAGAAGAAGATGTTCTAACATATTCATTACAACACCCCGGGACCCCTAACGGGATCAACACGACCCTAAAAGGGTCTTAAAATCCTGTTGATCCATTTCGAGTCTAATTCCTTCTTCCCATCTTTTCATGGCGACTGAAAAATAAAAAATAAAAAAGTACCTAAATCAAAAAATGTGGCTGGAATCTCAAAACTTTGGAAACACTGGATACACTGGATACCCTGGATACCCTGGATACACTGGATACACTGGATACACTGGATTAGATGGATACACTGGATACACTGGATACACTGGATACACTGGATACACTAGATAACACTGGATACACTGGATTCCCTGGATACACTAAATACATTGAATACACTGGATACACTGAATACACTGGATACACCATATACATGGGATACACTGGATACACTGGATACGCTGGATACACCGTAATCAATATTTATTATTATTACCTTTAATTTTTATCAATATGTCCGCAACAAATGTGTTTTCTTCAACTTCATTTTCGCCTAGATTCCTCAATCTGAAAAAAAACATTCATGAATGAAAAATAAATATTTTTGATTCTTTGGCAACAAAAAAGTATTTCTTTATTAATCGTATAAAATACACACTCAGTTGTGTGGGGGTGAAGAAATTAGTATAATAATAGACAAATTCATATCAATTACTGTCAATTAATTAATATCACACTTAGTTAATTAGTATGGGCCCAGAGAGTAATAACTTAGTAACAATAATACAAAAGTTTTATGCAGTATATAGATATATATATATATATATATATATGGAATACCCCTAACAGCTGGATGTTAGTGAATTCTTGGACATCATTTTTTAAAATGATTTCGCACAAATATTTAAGAAATGAATATTTAAAAGCTTTGATATCGAATAGTATTTGGTAATTAAAATTTGTAGCAAATATTGAAGTTTGCAGTGCTAGGTATTCGGCTTATACTGCCTGTTTTCGAATTGTAAGTTTTGCAAAGATTCTTAGAATTTGCTCCGCCAATTTCTAGTATTTTGCATGCAAACAGTTTTCCTTACAATTTTATAATTATTGTGAGTACCAATAACAGGGATAACTAGTAATTTTGACAGATTTCTTTGTACACTGCCCTTCCCATATCATATCTTTTCCCTGCCGTTCCCATATTCCTACCCCCCCCCCAAGTCCCATGCCCTTCCCATCCCTCACCCACCTCCCCTTTCTAATAACATCCCTCCCACTTTATCCCTTTCATCTGAAATATCTGAGTTACATGTATGAAATTAATCCTTGAGGTAAACATTCTACTCCCTTGTGCAAATTAATTTGCAAACTAATTTCTGCAACTTTCATCAAGTTAGCACACGGAGACTCAACTGAATTATTTTTGAAGGATTTTAAAACTTTTTTATTAAGATACAGTTTTTTGAAGTTCTAAAAATACTCAAAATTTTCAACAAAAAATTACGAAACAATTCTGCCAAATTTTATGAAAACTATTAACACCCAAAGAATTTACTCTACCATCCTGAAGCCATTGTTTATTAATGACCACAATAAAATGCATTCCAAAATTGCAGATAATGCAATTTAGCAGAAACATTTAAAGATTCCGATAGATTAAAGATGCATTTAAGAGAATCCTCAGAATCGATACAATTTTAGCACTTTACACTTTGAAAGGGGGTAAGTATATGATCAAGGCTCCAACTCATGTTGGTAGCTCAGTTTTAAAATAAACTTTCATATGTGATCTTTATACTGAAGAAAAGTTTTTATAAGAGGAGGGAACAGAGGGAAGGGGGAGTTACAACTTATTACAGGGAAGAGAATAGTTAGAAAAGAGGGTGGGGAGGGGGAAGTGGGGAGGTTAGAAAAGGATAGAAGGAAGGGGGAGGGGTGGTTTGAAAGGGGGAAGGAGGGATGATGTACGTGTTAAGTATAGAAGGGTGGGAAACTGTAAGTTTTGAAAGATAAAACTTTGGTGCGAGTTAAGATAAGATAGTGTTAAACATGGTAATACTATCTTAGAAAATAGATAAATAGATAAATAGATAGATAGACAATAAGTATATCCGTCTGCGTATATGTCTATATGAATATTTTATGTCTCTATATAATGTATATTTAATGTTATTAAATAAAGTACAGATTTTTTTCTTTATTCTCTTTAAATATTTCATATAGACAGCATAGAAAGAAAAGCTAACACGAAAATAGAAAAAATTAAATATTAAAAGAAAAATGATTGTAAGTTAAAAAATTTTAAAATACAGAGTGGGGCAAGGCGCAGTATTAGAACTATTAGAAAAGGAATCTGAAAAAGAGGTCCCGTTATGAACCCCCCAGACCGCCGGCAGGCATGGGAAGCACCGTCCCACACCTACT